CACTGCAATGCCTCCACTGCAATGCCTGCACTGCAATGCCTCCACTGCAATGCCTGCACTGCAATGCCTCCACTGCAATGCCTGCACTGCAATGCCTCCACTGCAATGCCTGCACTGCAATGCCTCCACTGCAATGCCTCCACTGCAATGCCTCCACTGCAATGCCTGCACTGCAATGCCTCCACTGCAATGCCTCCACTGCAATGCCTCCACTGCAATGCCTCCACTGCAATGCCTGCCACTGCAATGCCTCCACTGCAATGCCTCCACTGCAATGCCTCCACTGCAATGCCTGCACTGCAATGCCTCCACTGCAATGCCTGCACTGCAATGCCTCCACTGCAATGCCTGCACTGCAATGCCTCCACTGCAATGCCTGCACTGCAATGCCTCCACTGCAATGCCTGCACTGCAATGCCTCCACTGCAATGCCTCCACTGCAATGCCTCCACTGCAATGCCTGCACTGCAATGCCTCCACTGCAATGCCTCCACTGCAATGCCTCCACTGCAATGCCTCCACTGCAATGCCTCCACTGCAATGCCTCCACTGCAATGCCTCCACTGCAATGCCTGCACTGCAATGCCTCCACTGCAATGCCTGCACTGCAATGCCTCCACTGCAATGCCTGCACTGCAATGCCTCCACTGCAATGCCTGCACTGCAATGCCTCCACTGCAATGCCTCCACTGCAATGCCTCCACTGCAATGCCTCCACTGCAATGCCTCCACTGCAATGCCTGCACTGCAATGCCTCCACTGCAATGCCTGCACTGCAATGCCTCCACTGCAATGCCTGCACTGCAATGCCTCCACTGCAATGCCTGCACTGCAATGCCTCCACTGCAATGCCTCCACTGCAATGCCTCCACTGCAATGCCTGCACTGCAATGCCTCCACTGCAATGCCTCCACTGCAATGCCTCCACTGCAATGCCTCCACTGCAATGCCTCCACTGCAATGCCTCCACTGCAATGCCTCCACTGCAATGCCTGCACTGCAATGCCTCCACTGCAATGCCTGCACTGCAATGCCTCCACTGCAATGCCTGCACTGCAATGCCTCCACTGCAATGCCTGCACTGCAATGCCTCCACTGCAATGCCTCCACTGCAATGCCTCCACTGCAATGCCTGCACTGCAATGCCTCCACTGCAATGCCTCCACTGCAATGCCTCCACTGCAATGCCTCCACTGCAATGCCTCCACTGCAATGCCTGCACTGCAATGCCTCCACTGCAATGCCTCCACTGCAATGCCTCCACTGCAATGCCTCCACTGCAATGCCTCCACTGCAATGCCTCCACTGCAATGCCTCCACTGCAATGCCTCCACTGCAATGCCTGCACTGCAATGCCTCCACTGCAATGCCTGCACTGCAATGCCTCCACTGCAATGCCTGCACTGCAATGCCTCCACTGCAATGCCTGCACTGCAATGCCTCCACTGCAATGCCTCACTGCAATGCCTCCACTGCAATGCCTGCACTGCAATGCCTCCACTGCAATGCCTCCACTGCAATGCCTCCACTGCAATGCCTCCACTGCAATGCCTGCCACTGCAATGCCTCCACTGCAATGCCTCCACTGCAATGCCTCCACTGCAATGCCTGCACTGCAATGCCTCCACTGCAATGCCTGCACTGCAATGCCTCCACTGCAATGCCTGCACTGCAATGCCTCCACTGCAATGCCTGCACTGCAATGCCTCCACTGCAATGCCTGCACTGCAATGCCTCCACTGCAATGCCTCCACTGCAATGCCTCCACTGCAATGCCTGCACTGCAATGCCTCCACTGCAATGCCTCCACTGCAATGCCTCCACTGCAATGCCTCCACTGCAATGCCTGCACTGCAATGCCTCCACTGCAATGCCTCCACTGCAATGCCTCCACTGCAATGCCTGCACTGCAATGCCTCCACTGCAATGCCTGCACTGCAATGCCTCCACTGCAATGCCTGCACTGCAATGCCTCCACTGCAATGCCTCCACTGCAATGCCTCCACTGCAATGCCTCCACTGCAATGCCTGCACTGCAATGCCTCCACTGCAATGCCTCCACTGCAATGCCTGCACTGCAATGCCTCCACTGCAATGCCTGCACTGCAATGCCTCCACTGCAATGCCTGCACTGCAATGCCTCCACTGCAATGCCTCCACTGCAATGCCTCCACTGCAATGCCTGCACTGCAATGCCTGCACTGCAATGCCTCCACTGCAATGCCTGCACTGCAATGCCTCCACTGCAATGCCTGCACTGCAATGCCTCCACTGCAATGCCTCCACTGCAATGCCTCCACTGCAATGCCTGCACTGCAATGCCTCCACTGCAATGCCTGCACTGCAATGCCTCCACTGCAATGCCTGCACTGCAATCCTCCACTGCAATGCCTCCACTGCAATGCCTCCACTGCAATGCCTCCACTGCAATGCCTGCACTGCAATGCCTCCACTGCAATGCCTCCACTGCAATGCCTGCACTGCAATGCCTCCACTGCAATGCCTGCACTGCAATGCCTCCACTGCAATGCCTGCACTGCAATGCCTCCACTGCAATGCCTCCACTGCAATGCCTCCACTGCAATGCCTGCACTGCAATGCCTCCACTGCAATGCCTGCACTGCAATGCCTGCACTGCAATGCCTGCACTGCAATGCCTCCACTGCAATGCCTGCACTGCAATACCTCCACTGCAATGCCTCCACTGCAATGCCTCCACTGCAATGCCTGCACTGCAATGCCTCCACTGCAATGCCTGCACTGCAATGCCTCCACTGCAATGCCTGCACTGCAATGCCTCCACTGCAATGCCTCCACTGCAATGCCTCCACTGCAATGCCTCCACTGCAATGCCTGCACTGCAATGCCTCCACTGCAATGCCTCCACTGCAATGCCTGCACTGCAATGCCTCCACTGCAATGCCTGCACTGCAATGCCTCCACTGCAATGCCTGCACTGCAATGCCTCCACTGCAATGCCTCCACTGCAATGCCTCCACTGCAATGCCTGCACTGCAATGCCTGCACTGCAATGCCTGCACTGCAATGCCTCCACTGCAATGCCTGCACTGCAATGCCTCCACTGCAATGCCTGCACTGCAATGCCTCCACTGCAATGCCTCCACTGCAATGCCTCCACTGCAATGCCTGCACTGCAATGCCTGCACTGCAATGCCTGCACTGCAATGCCTCCACTGCAATGCCTGCACTGCAATGCCTCCACTGCAATGCCTGCACTGCAATGCCTGCACTGCAATGCCTCCACTGCAATGCCTCCACTGCAATGCCTCCACTGCAATGCCTGCACTGCAATGCCTCCACTGCAATGCCTCCACTGCAATGCCTCCACTGCAATGCCTCCACTGCAATGCCTGCACTGCAATGCCTCCACTGCAATGCCTCCACTGCAATGCCTCCACTGCAATGCCTGCACTGCAATGCCTCCACTGCAATGCCTGCACTGCAATGCCTCCACTGCAATGCCTGCACTGCAATGCCTCCACTGCAATGCCTCCACTGCAATGCCTCCACTGCAATGCCTGCACTGCAATGCCTCCACTGCAATGCCTCCACTGCAATGCCTCCACTGCAATGCCTCCACTGCAATGCCTCCACTGCAATGCCTGCACTGCAATGCCTCCACTGCAATGCCTCCACTGCAATGCCTCCACTGCAATGCCTGCACTGCAATGCCTCCACTGCAATGCCTCCACTGCAATGCCTCCACTGCAATGCCTCCACTGCAATGCCTGCACTGCAATGCCTCCACTGCAATGCCTCCACTGCAATGCCTCCACTGCAATGCCTGCACTGCAATGCCTCCACTGCAATGCCTGCACTGCAATGCCTCCACTGCAATGCCTGCACTGCAATGCCTCCACTGCAATGCCTCCACTGCAATGCCTCCACTGCAATGCCTCCACTGCAATGCCTGCACTGCAATGCCTCCACTGCAATGCCTCCACTGCAATGCCTGCACTGCAATGCCTCCACTGCAATGCCTGCACTGCAATGCCTCCACTGCAATGCCTGCACTGCAATGCCTCCACTGCAATGCCTCCACTGCAATGCCTCCACTGCAATGCCTGCACTGCAATGCCTCCACTGCAATGCCTGCACTGCAATGCCTCCACTGCAATGCCTGCACTGCAATGCCTCCACTGCAATGCCTGCACTGCAATGCCTCCACTGCAATGCCTCCACTGCAATGCCTCCACTGCAATGCCTGCACTGCAATGCCTGCACTGCAATGCCTGCACTGCAATGCCTCCACTGCAATGCCTGCACTGCAATGCCTCCACTGCAATGCCTGCACTGCAATGCCTGCACTGCAATGCCTCCACTGCAATGCCTGCACTGCAATGCCTGCGGCTTCTGAGGCATGTGAGAGATCCCCTCATCCCTGCTCGCTCTTACACTTTTCAGGGGCGAAGGTGGTTGGAAACACAACTTTGGTGAAGTTGATGGTTGTGTAGGGCTGTGGGAGTTGGGTGGTGGTAGCAGGGTAGTTGATGGTTGCTCCCACCGCCTACTCCCACAAACACCTCACCTACCTCCTGCCTGCGCTGCTTGTTTGATTTGCCTATTCTTGAGTCGACTCAAAGATGGTTGCTCCCACCGCCTACTCCCACACCTCACCTACCTCCTGCCTGCGCTGGTTGTTTGATTTGACTCGGAAAGCCGAGTGGACTTGCACGCGCACATCAACTCACACTTTTCAGGGGCGAGGGCGAGCTGGGTGGGAGAAGCCACTTTGATGAATTTGATGATCGTCCCCACCCCACCACTCACCCTCTGGGGGGCCTGTAACGGCTGTTGTGTTGCATGCGGCTTTGCTGAAAAGGCGCATGCTCTTACACTTTTCAGGCGCGAGCGCAAGCTGGGTGGGAGAATCCACTTTGATGAAGTTGACAATCGCCCCCACCACCTGCTCCCACAACTCAACTACCTGGGGGGGATGTGCTGCATACGGCTTTTGCTGCCCAGCTGCATGCTCTTACACTTTTCAGGCGCGAGCGCGAGCTGGGTGGGCGAGGCCACTTTGATGAAGTTGATGATTGTCCCCACCACCTGCTCCCACAGTGCGCCCGGTGCCTGCGCTGCATGCGCGTCGCTGTAGGGGAGGCAGGCAGGTAGGCAGGCAGGAGAGTGGGAGGAGAGCGGGAGGGGGGAGGAGGGTGGCTTGATGGTCGAGATTGTATTGTCCCCACCACCTGCTCCCACGGCTCGCCCGGTGCCAGTGCTGCATGCGCATCGCTGTAGGGGAAGGGTGGGAAGAGAAGGGGTGGGAGGGGGTGGGAGGGGGAGAACAACGGATGAGGAGACAGGGGGATGGGAGATAGAAGAGGAGGGCGGGGGAGGAGAAATCGATGTGAAGACTGAACTGAACGCGCGCGACAGGAAACAGCAGAAGACTACATTCACCCCCGCACCCTCCCCCTCCACAGCCGCTTCCCTCCGTTTCCCCATTCGTTGCCTGGATCTACCCTCGTCCACTACGTTCCTCCACTGCCAAGCGCGCTAACGGGAAGAAGAGCAAGGCGAGCGGGTGTTCACTGTTCACTCTCCCCCCTGCCCCATGCGCCCTGCCTTCCCACCGTCCCCGAAATCCCCCCTTCTACCTTTCCCTCCCCCAGCTCACAGGAAGAAGAGGAAGGCGAGCGAGCGCAGCGCGAATACCCCGTCTTTCCCCATTTCTCTCCCTCCCCCTCCCCCTCCCCACTCAAAGAAAGCAGAGGAAGGCGAGCAAGCGCAGCACGGGTTCAACGCCTTTCCCCATTTCTCCCCCCCCCCCCCCCCCTCCTCCCCACTCACAGGAAGAAGAGGAATGCGAGAGAGTGCAGAGCAGGATCAAGCGACGCGAGCAGAGTGTCGAGCTGCGCCGCGTGCTTCGAGAGCGCGTCCTCCGCGCCGCGCAGCACCTCCAGCAGGTGCGCCAGGTCGCTCGCGCTGCCCGACAGGCCCTGCGCCTGCGTTACCACCTTCTCCAACGCCTCCATCGCCACTCGCTTCGCCAATCCCTTCGTCACTCCACACGTCACTTCTACTCGTCAATCCCGTCGAGTTGATCCGTAGAATATATTCGTAGAGCTCTTTGATCTGTATGGATTTGAAACGACGCTTTGAGTGAATTCCTAGGGCTGGAAATTCTGCTTATGTTCCTAGGACTAAATGGAAGCGTTAATGAAGCGATGCGAGTCTGTTCTTGACCAGCGTAATGCTGCGGCGACCGAAAGCCTGACGAATCTGGGCCGCAGATCCCGCTCGCCCTAATGGCTGGGGCACGTTCCTTGCAGCGGCTCGGATTTATGGGCAGGAAGTTGAAGAGAATTGGCACAAGTTGGACTTCCGGTCCTCGATTTGGACAGCTTCGATATAGAGCACAAAATCCCCGAAGTGGAACAAATCTAATATGTTTTCTAACAGCTCAACCCTTTAAATGGGAAGGGACTAACTGAATGGCAACATGTTGGTGGGCCATTACTCAGAAGAATCGTTTGTCAACGCAATTACAACATGGTAACCACCCATCAAAATAAACGCCGCTATGGATTGATGCACGGTTCGCAAAGCCCAGCCTTGCCAGTGGTAGCTTCTATCCCACCATCGCAAGCCAGATAATCGCTCCCACCACCTCCCATCCTTCCCCTTGCGCACCAACGCTAACTCCATTGCCACGTGCTGGTTGGATATTCAGGGAGGAAACACCACACATGCACAGAAAGCAGGGAGTGGATGCGAGCACAAAGAGGATTAAAAAAAGGATGCAAGCATGGACAAAAAGCACGCGTATAGAAAGAATAGCGTGGAGAAAATAGGAAAGTGCGTAGGATATTAAAAGCCAGAAGCAAGAAACGAAATCATTTGCCGAAGGAGTTCTTACCTTGGGCAAGACGGTGGCTTGAGTGCGGGTCTTGGCACAGTCAAACGGATGTGACACAACCGACGCCACCGCTGCTGCCACGGCCGCTTCCAACCCCTGTGTTAACGCATACCGATACCCACTCCCCACACTCCTCCTCCCCATGTCTCCACCACCCACTCCTCCCTCCAACCCCTCCCCCTCCCCCTCCCCATCCCTCTCTCTCTTCCTCCGTCGAAGCTCCTCGAACTCCCTCAACCCCTCCTCTATAGTCACCCACCCTCCAAAGAACACCGCTCCAAAGAGCGTATCTCTAGTCACACCCGCTCGAAGGCCTCTCCACAGCTGAGCTGCCCCCTCAGCCCTCACTCCAGCCCTTGCAGCTTCCCAAGGGGACGATGCAGGGAGGTAGGGCGAGGGGACCGGGGTCCAGGGATAGTGGGCGAGGGAGAGGGAGAAAGTGGTGGGCGGTAGGGGGGTGGAAGGAGGGGGGATGGGAGGGGTGTGCAGGGATGCAGAGAGGTGCCTTGGGTGTAAGGTTTTGGTGGAGGGGAGGGGAATGGGAGGAGGAGGAGGGGAGGAGGAAACGAAGGTGCGCTTGTGAGTTGTGCGGTGCGGGCGGTCAGAACGGTTAGTTCGAGAGTTGGTGGGTCTGTGTGTGAGTGGATGGGGCAGCCTCTGCTTGGGAAGAGAGGAACCACTTCGTGATTTGTGACTGGGGATGGAAGATTGCTTAACACTAGAGGATTGACTGGGGGAGGTGTGGCCAGGGGAGGTATGGTTGGGGGACGGTGTGCCCAAAGAAGAGGAGGCTGGTTGGGAAGGAGAAGAGGGGCGGTGGATGCGGATGGAGGGACAGGGGAGGGAGATGGGGTGGGAGGGCGGGACAGGTGGCAGCAGGGGAGTGGCGAGCAGCAAGCGGGTTTTGAGGAGGTCGAATGGTGTGGAGAGCAGGGACTCTGTCGCCCCGGCTATGGCTCCTGCTGCTGCTGCTTGAGGCGGGGAGATGGGCAGCCAAGAGGGCAGACCATCTGGATTGTGCGGGGGAAAGAGAAAGGGGATACGAATGGGGACAGCAGAAACAGCAAAGTTGCAGGTGAAGCATGGAGAGCAGAGACCCTGTCGCTCCTGCAATGGCTCCTGCTGCTGCTTCTTGAAGCGGGGAGATGGGGAGCCAAGAGGGCAGACCATCTGGGTTGGGGGGGGAGGGGGGAAGGCGAGAGGGGAAGGGAAGGGGAATAGGAAGGGTTATGAGGAAAATTATCGAAACAACAAGCAGGCGTGGAGAGCAAGGACTCTGACACCCTGGCTATGGCTGTTGCTGCTGCTGCTTGAGGCGGGGAGATGGGGAGCCAAGATGGCAGACCATCTGGGTGAAAAGAGGGGAAGGAGGCAAGGTTCAAAAATACGGTTTTCGTAAATCACGGTCCGTTTTTTATGGTTATTTTTAAAAAAATCGGCGTTTTTTTGTTAGAGAACTCTTGTCACCAAGAAAAAAAAGGCAAAAACAAGGCCGGATACTTTTTCAATCATGCCCACACATGCACACATTCAAGGAGGGGTTCGTCCTCTTCATCCTGGTACCTTCCGCCATCAATTTGGTCCCATAAAATGGCCGATTTCTTCTTCAAACGAAAATCACCTTCTGGAACCGTTTTTTTACCGTTTTTACGGTGTCGTTTTTCACGGTAAATTTTCAAAAAAACGACGTTTTTTTGGAAGGAGGGGACGGAAGAGGACAAGTTAACAAAGGAACAGGCGGCTGCTGCTCAAGGGGGAAAAAGACGACATTATACTCAACAGCATTGAACAGTACCCGTGCTGAGTGAGTTGACTTGCTTGATGAACTAGAAGACCACGAGGAGAACCCGAGGTGAATTGCAAGGCAGGAAGGAAGGACGGTGGACTCACCCATTTGGTAAGCGGCGGCGAGATGGTAGGTGGTGTAGCGGGCTGCTAGCGATGGCAGATGCCCGGCAAGGTGCGGTGAAAACCCCATGAATGCGTCTGGCAGGCAGGGAGAGTGGAAGACGGAAAGCGCAGAGGCGGAAACCTCAGGAGAACGAATGCTTAGAACCTTCTCCCTCCCTCAGGGGTCTTTCTCATACATCGGTGTTGCTTCACTCTAGCAGCTCGCATGATAAAGAAAGCATTGGCATAATGAAAAAGGGCGGAGACTAACGTAGATGAGGGAGGGAGTGGGGGTGGGGAAGGGGAGGATGGTGAGAGAATGGGGAAGGGCGGGTCACGGGAAAGTGGGAAATGGGAACATTGGAGCATTGCGGGTTGGACTGCTACCTTTACTTCTCCAGTTGAGACCGCTGGTGGCAGCCGCTCGTGACGCTGCTGCCGTCCCGCTTCGAGCCATTCCACCAGGCGATGCTCCCGCTGACCCCCCTGCGATCCCGCTGCCCTGCACGGCGCCTGCCTGTGCGACAACCGCGTGTGCGACGCTGGCCTGTGCGACACCCGCCTGTGCGACGGTCTTGGCGACATCGAGGGGGTATGTGACGGCGCTCGCCACCACGGCTGAAACCGCTCCTGCTGCCACGTGTCGGTAAAAGAGATGCGATCTGGATTCGCCGTCCATGGCAGCGGCCTTGACCCGAACGTGATGATGATCCGAGGATGTTCAGAACATTACCCGGGCTCGACAAAACGTATGCCGTCTAAGTATAGCAGCAATCACGCTCGCTCAGCTCTAAGCGATCTGCCTGTATCCCTGACGACATGACCATTTCAGAAAACATCAGCCGCATTCGTCGGCTGCGTTTAACGGTCAAGAGCTGATAGCGCTCCGCCTTAGAGAGCCGAATCCGTGACGCTCTGATTCGCTGAGGTGTGGAACGGTATCATACTTTCGGGATCCCTGACTTGTCAATCGCACACATCCAGGACTAGTTGGGTGGTGGTGGCTTTGGTCGTGTGGGCTGGGCGTGGCTGCGAGGATTCTAGGAGGTTTGGGGGGTTGTTGATTTCAAGGGGCTGGTTTGCTGCTCGAGATTTGTACTCGTCCGAAAAGCATCCGATTTGTTACACGCTTGCTCGCAACACCTCAATGCAGAAAGTAGATACAAGTTCTTCACGCAATCCCAATCCCCCTTCTCTACATCCTGCTTCAAACTACCACATTCCACGACACAGCCCAACACACCTTGGCTCAGTTTCCTCAGCTGCAATCTTCAAATCTCTCAGGACATCAGGCACGGTGTGACGGGCTGGCTTCGCCATGGCTGTAAGCGCGCTCCTGTCCCGGCCACCGGCTAATCTCTCTTCCTTAAGTGCCTTTTCCCCCTCGCGCATTTCCCGTTCCGCCTGCTCCCCCTCACCCCGCGCGGCATTACCGTCCAGGATTTCAGTCACCGCTTTCACAGCAACCCGCCATGACTCTCCGCCTCCTCAGCTCATGACCCGGCCTCGCGCCTCACCACTCGGAACCTCTCAGCGCGTCACCCGTTTCTCGAGAGTACCGCTCCTTAGTTCAGCCCCCCAGCAGAGGCACCAAAATAGTAACGTTTCGGATTTTTCCCGTAGCTCTGAGTGCAAGCGGCGCGGAGCCGTCGTTTCCCGCGCGTTTCTGCTCCCAGTGGACCCCTGGTCGCCCAACATCGACTCGCAGAGCATCGCGTCGTCGCTGTTCGCCGTGTCGCTTTTCCCGTACCTCGGATTCCTCTACTTCCTCACGCGGTCTGGCACGGCGCCGCGCATCACGCTGTTCGGGTTCTACTTCCTGCTCGCGTTCGTCGGCGCCACGAGTGAGTGCGCTGGTACTAGGAGCTGACACTTTTGGCATGTTTCTTTTGAGCGGCGTATGTACTAGGAGCTGGTTTCATCAACTCTACTTCCTGCTCTCATTCGTCGGCGCCACGAGTGAGTGCGCTCGAAGTAGGAGCTGGCACTATCAGCATTTTTTTTTTTAGCGGCGTATGTACTACGAGCTGCATAGGCACGAATGAGGTCTATGTACTAGGGGCTGGTTTCACTGGCTCCTTGTGCCTGCATTTGTCAGGCCACGAGTGACTGCGCTAGTTCTCGGAGCTGTATACGCATGCTTCATTTCTACCTTTTCTGCGCATTCGTCAGCGGCACGAGTGGGTATAGGCAAACTGAGAGGCATATGTAAGAGCGCCATGGATCCCAACTTCGTCTCGCATTCTTCAGTGTCGCTGGTAGGTGCTTATGGGCTGCATAGGCATGCTGTGTTCTGTTCCATCGTCAATCCACCGCATGTCCATTCATTCCGCCAAATCAACACTGATGGAACTACCACAGGTGAGCACCGTTTCTCCCCCTTCCTCCTTCGCTCTTTCTTTCCTCCCCCAATCACTCTCTCCATTTCGCCTTTCCAAATCTATTCCCTTCCTTCCCCGTCTCATCGTTTTTTTGCTTCTCATTCATTCCCTCGCTCCTTCAATCTCTCAATTCCGTCGTCCCCGTCTCCCCACTGTCCTTCCTCACCTCCTCGATCCCAGGCTTTCCTTCACTTGCTCCCACCTCTTACCACTAATAACTCGTCTGCTGGCTTCTTAACTTAGAGCCCCTTTCTTCTCCTCCCTCACACCCCTCCCTCCCTCCCCTTTTCTCATCCCCCATTTCCAATTTCAACTTTTTCCACGTGCTCAACTATTCCCCGGAAACCTTCTCTCGAATGACAGTTCCTGCTGGAATATATGGTGAGCTCCTTTTCACTCTGTATGATCTCACACCTTGGTCCCGTAGCCCTCCGTTCCGGATCATGGCTACTTTGTGGAAGTGGTTATTTGCTGTGGTTTGTCTTTGTCCATTATCTGTCTTGATCGGCTGGTTTGAGTGGGTTTCTTTCTATGGTGTAGATTTTTGCCACGTTTGAGCGTTTACCATGTGCCTTTCTGTTATGCCTGTTTGAATGTGCCCTTATTCCGTCCAGCCAAAATACACTATGGGACATCACTATCTAATGTAGACTACCTACATGGCAGTGCTGAATCGTTGCTTACAATCACGAACCTCCTGATTGTGTTTGGCCTGCGCAAGGCCCTTCGGGATGAGGAGGCTAGTGAGGCTTCGGTTGGCGATTCTTCTGAAAAGGATTCTAGTGAGCGGGTTGTGGTGACTGACAAAGTTGAGTGACATGAACCTGTGAACTAGGGCTTGGGCCATCCAATCCAACTCAACTCAATCAACTTCGCATCATCAAATGCACCACGACCTACTACAAGACGTCAGAAAGTGGCCAGAACATAGTGTTCTATCTAAACAAGAGAATGCTGGTAAAACATGCTCAAGATTGCTGTCCATGTAGCACCCTGTATTTCATCAAATGTTTTTGGAGAAAATATTTCAGCTACACATTGTCTGGCGTGCGAATGTCAATTGCCGCGTTATACATGCCCAAAGATACGCGATATATAGAATCTTGAATTTCACGAAGGCTCTTCCTCACCACACACACCCACACGCACATCTCAAATCTCGATTTGCTTCTTCACCCAAGCATTGCATGCTTGTTCGCACGCCCCGCTGCAGATCCTTCCATTACTCGAATTCCCACGTGTCATTTTGTGCTCCCTCACAAACCTGTGCTCATGGCGTCTCGAGATACCCGGACTGGGACGTCAGCGAGAAGTGCACCTTTTCGGAGACGAGGGTTTGAGGGATGGCCGTCAGCGAGACCAGGGTGACTGTCATTACCATCTGTTCTGTTACAACACTGTCCTTCTATGTGCTCGTATACTTGGAATTGCATTTCAATTCTTGGATGAAAGGAGCCCGTCGTTTCTTGATATCAACCGCCAGCGAAGCCGTATTTCTTTAGCGATTTTGTGGCCATGGTTCGAGGAAAAGCTTCCGCACGAATCCAAGTCCGAACTACTCGAACGGTGACCAGGTCTCTGAGGCCACGGCCTGCGATCCGCTATGCAGAGCCTGGCAGAGGCCGTGGAATCTCAGCTAGGGGAAGAGGAGGTGTCGAGCGTCGACAGGCAACACAGCAGCCACCGTTGGTGGTTCTGGAGTCGACCGAAGTGAGCGTGACAACAGCTGAGGCCGTTGCAGATTCTCAAGCCGCTGCGACCAGCCCGTCCAGTACCCAGGGGCTTCCTGCAGCCGTGGTGGATGCGGCGTTTGCTGCAGCGGAAGCGATTGCCGCTGGTGTTCCTGTGACTGGAGGCGGACGTGCTCTCGAAACACCTGCTGACGTGGCAGAGGGTCTCCCTCCGCTCGTTGACACGTCCGCACGCCGGGATTCTGGCGAAGAGGCGAGGAAGAAGGGTACGAGAAGGGAGATCTCAATCACAGAAACGGATTTTGAGCGTGAGGGAATACAGGAAGATGAGGAGTTATTGGAGAAAGATGAGCCTATGGAATCGCCGGTTGACGTGACTTTGGGGGAAGAACCTGGCTCAGAGGGAGGAGGAGGCGAGGACGTGGAAGAAGTGGAAAGATCACCACCGCTTGACACTCAAGCAACTTCTGCCCAAGAAAAAGCAGCAGAGGAGATGACAACGTCGCCAGCAGCCGCAGGGGAGGAGATTACAGGCAGCTGCAGTAGAGCTGCTGGTCGCTGGTCCTTGAGGTCTCATGGGAAGGCAGCCGAGAATGAAGTGATGAGAACTCAGGAGGTTCAGGAGCAAGAAACCAGACGGGTCAAGGTTCGGATGGACAACAACGAGGTGACATATGAGATGAATACTACAGCTCCTCTGAAGAACATGTTTGCACTCTTCTGCAAGAGATTGCATCTGCCTGAAGATGGGGTGAAGTTCTGCAAGAATGGCCGTGCTATTCGGGGTAACCAGACTGTGCTGGAGGCCAAGCTTGCTAATAATTGCATAATTGATGGCTATGTTTCAAAGGATGGTGGGTAGTATGTAACACTCAGGCCCTCAGATTGGTAGTGGGCTAGTCTGAAAATTCAGAGTTGGTACATGACTTAACTCTGAAAATCAGAGTGTTTCCTGCATAAATACCACTGCACACTAGGAAAAATTGCATTTTTCCTGGTTTTTCTACAAAAAAGGCTGGATTTTCAGAGTTAACTTAAAAAAAAGGCTGAAATATCAGAGTTCTGTAGGCAAATCAGAGAAATTTCTCTGACTTCTGGGGGCTTGGTAACACTACAGGGCTTTGTTAGGCCATTTTCTACTTCAAAGAAAGAGTGAGGTTGGAGAGAGTATATCAACTTGTTGTGGCAACAACTTGAAAACGATGGTTTTTAGACTTCGTGGTTCCTGTACCACGGCAGATTTACCGTTCTTGCAGCTAATGAATATGCATTCGATGTGATTTGGTGTATGAATATAAATTGACAGATTAACTATAATAGGCTAATAAACTGTAGTGGGCTAATAAACTGTTGCGGGCTAATAAACTGTAGCAAGTGAAGTGTTTTGGTTATGCTTCCTTCAGAAAGAGCGCTTCGGCTTGTCCAACGGGCACACCTAGAAAAGGGGGTTCTTCGGGTAGGTCCTTTCCCAAGTTGCTTTGGTTGCTTATTTATTGTCCAGAAGAACTGATATCTCGGTTAGAACCATGGCTTTCCCTGGACATGAGAAGCACGTTTGCTGCGATGACTCATCTGCTCCTGTCAGTGCGACGTCGCTGGCTGAACTGCATTCTCTTCAGAAGAAGCTAACTTCACTTCCAAGCGGTGGCGCTGAGTCTATCAGGTACACGTTCAGAGTCTCAGCATGCTCAAGCGTTTAGTACAGGTTTCTAATATTCATCGTCTTTTCAGTGCCTCCTTGGCATCACACGCGCGAGAACGGGGTCCCAACGTCATTAAGGGAGATCCAAAAAACGTTTCCAAGGATAGCCATGTCCATTTTGTTGCGTCTGACTACGTCAGCGATTTTAACCTCAAAGCGACCCACGTGCTTCACAATCTTTCACAAGCAGGTATGTTTGACGTATTTTCCAGTTCAGGATTTGCTGTTTGTTTTTTTCCCCCCTTGTGACAATGTCAGCTACTGCACTCTTACCTGAACAGAGCTTTATGAGCTTGCGATCAAGGATGAGAAGGGGACGTACATCACTTCAACTGGAGCGCTTGCTACTCTCTCTGGAGCGAAGACAGGACGTTCTCCTAAGGACAAGCGCATTGTGAAGGAAGAGACCTCACAGGATGACCTGTGGTGGGGGAAGTAAGTGGATTTTTAATTTCTCCATCGTCCACATGTGCTGGATAGGTCTGAGCATCTTGTGCTTCCTCAGAGGTTCCCCGAACATTGAGATGGACGAAGAGACTTTCTTTATCAACCGTGAGCGTGCTGTCGACTACCTGAAATCTCTGGATAAGGTGTGTTTTTTTCATATGCCGCTCCGAGGTCGTATGGTGGAGAGATTTCTTATTTCGTGGTTATTGCAGGTCTTCGTGAACGACCAGTTTTTGAACTGGGACAAGGAAAATCGGGTCAAAGTCAGAATCATCACCTCCCGTGCTTATCACGCTCTCTTCATGCATAACATGTAAGGATCTGGCCAACTTGCTTCAACTTCATGATATTCCAGTACTCCGTATCACCTCTGTATGTACGTGCAAACTCAACACGCTTTCATCTCTAATATATTTGAACAAGTCAGGTGCATCCGGCCAACTCCGGAAGAGTTGGAAACGTTTGGTGAACCTGACTTCACCATCTATAATGGCGGGAAGTTTCCATGCAACCGTTTCACTCACTACATGACATCGTCGACTAGCATTGACATCAACCTGAAGAGGAGGGAAATGGTTATTCTTGGAACTCAGTATGCTGGCGAGATGAAGAAGGGGCTCTTTGGGTTTATGCACTATTTGATGCCAAAGAGAGGAATACTCTCACTTCATTCTGGCTGCAACATGGGAAAGGGCGGTGACGCCTCCCTGTTCTTCGGCCTTTCAGGTATGTTGACCGGATACTCCTTCTGTATCACTCTCTTACGAAAAGGTCCATAACTTAGCTGTTTTATCACAGGCACGGGAAAGACGACCCTCTCAACTGATCCTGAGAGGTACCTGATTGGGGATGATGAGCACTGCTGGAGCGACAATGGTATATCCAACATCGAAGGAGGGTGCTACGCAAAGTGCATTGACCTGTCGCCAGAGAAGGAACCAGAGATATTTAACGCAATCAAGTTCGGAACAGGTATTCTGCTGGTGTGCTTGCTCTTTGTCTGTTTTTCAACCCTTGACTCTTGTCTTTTGCAGTCCTGGAGAACGTCGTGTTTGACAGCCACACCAGGGTGGTGGACTACGCAGACAAGTCTGTGACAGGTAAGTTTGTGTTATTGTGCTCTTGTTGATAACGTCATCCATTAACAAGCTGATACCCACAGAAAACACCCGTGCTGCATACCCTATCGAGTATATTCCAAACGCTAAGATTCCCTGTGTTGGACCCCACCCAAGAAATGTCATTCTGCTGGCCTGTGATGCATTCGGAGTCCTTCCTCCTGTCAGCAAGCTGACCCTTCCCCAAACCATGTACCACTTTATTAGTGGATACACTGCTCTGGTGGGTCTCTCCTGTTGGCCACTCTGAGAACCCGTTCATGTTGAAAAGTTGTTTTTTTCTGTTTGGATGTTGTGTTACTGACGCACCTTCTACTTCACAGGTCGCTGGAACTGAAGAGGGTATCAAGGAACCGCAGGCAACGTTCTCCGCATGTTTTGGGGCTGCTTTCATCATGTGGCATCCCATTAAGTATGCGGGCATGCTTGCTCAGAGGATGCACGAGAACGGATCTAGTGCATGGCTTGTGAACACGGGTTGGTCGGGTGGCAGCTATGGCGTGGGAAGCAGGATGAAGCTGGCATATACGAGGAAGATTATCGATGCGATCCACAATGGGTCTCTTGCATCTGCTACATATAAGACAACCCCGATATTTGGTCTTCAAGTGCCGGACCAAGTTGATGGCGTGCCTCAGGACATTCTTGAGCCACAGAACATGGTGAGTAAACTATCCACCTTTACAACGCTTTCCACCTTGCCATTCACCTTGTTAACACTACCAAAAATGTTGTGTTGTCTGCTGAACAGTGGGGGGACAAGTGTGCTTATGACGCAACGCTGAAGAAGCTTGGTGGCCTTTTCAACACGAACTTTTCCAAATTCACTGAGAGCATGGCTGGTGTGGATACCATCCTGGCTCAACAGATCCTCTCAGCAGGACCTCAGCTTGCATAGAGTACACAACAGCAATGAGGAGACTCATAATAAGCACTTATGTGTGCAAGCCCAAGTTATTCAAGTTATGGTGATGAAGTTACACTAGTAAGTCAAATAAATTCATTGATGGTTAGTAGAATGGATGATAAGTTTTTGTATGTATTTCCAAGAATAGATAATCTGTCCAGAAACAACACCAGCAGTACCTGCTCAGTCATATGGCTTAATCTTGTGTGGATACAAGGCAGAATGGATCTAGAAATACTTGGTGGTGACGCTTGTAGCTTGTCATATTTGCAATCAGTTCCTTCCAAGGGGCAGTGACCTGCATGAGTAGGTCTCCTTCAGATCTTCCTTTCGCGACGAAGTGAAGATTGATGCGTAAACATCTTTACTTGCACCGGCTGGTAACTTGTCCACTGCTTTGAAATGCTGCTTGACCTGAACCAAATCCGACCCCTTCGGTCTAGATTTGTTGACAGACCCTTCTGATGTGTTCTTCATTCCTGCCGTTGGTCCTTCTGCTCCTTTCCTTTTGACTCCTCGCTTATCAACCAAGCCCGCTGCATCGATTGCCTTGTCTTCAGGGCTCAGACTACCAGTTGCTGTCACCCCTGCTGCGATGCCTTTCTTTTCCAGGCTTCTTGCCCTAACATCCACCACTGCCACCCCATCAACATCCTCCACTGCAGCTCCTTTCAGCCCGTTCCCTGCAACGGCCACATCAACCTGAGAATGAGGAGGAGCACCTTTTTTCTTCTTCCCAGCACGCCTGGAAGCTTGTTCTTCCTCCATCCGAGTGCGCAAAACCTCCACCTCCTCCTCAGTACCGTTAATTGGAATCCGATCCGTTTCCAGAAACTTGGCATGACAGACGAGACACGTTGGTGAGGGCAGTTCCTTGAGTGCACGAGCACTAAGCACATGTCCACAGGGGCGAAGGGCGACAAACTTGAAGCTGCCACTGAACTCCTGCTGAGTGATCGGACAAAGGAACCTGCATCACACGAATATGGAAGTGAGGATGTGGGCAACATGAAGTAAAGACAGTGAACCAAAGGAAACGACGAGGAACCGCGCTTCTGCACATAGACTTGTAGGACCAACACAGCAACATGCGCAATTCTATCGGAAGTATTATGCCCTAAAGCTGTCAGCAAGAACACAACTTCCTGTGAAGACATGGTGGGCCTGTAAACATATGGTGGGCCTGAACCTAGCTGTAAAGATAATGGTAGGCGTGTCACCGGACGTTATACACGCTCTGCCACATACCTGACATGGGCCTTCTTGTCAAGCCCTGGAATTTCCGTCAGCTGAATCCCAACGACATCCCTCAACCCCTTAATGTGCTTCAGAGCAACGGGAATGCTCTTCTCCACTAAGGCGCGAACCACAGCTTCCTTGTTAAACACGTTTCCCAGTAAATCCACTACACAAGGAGGAGTCAGCGGCTCGCCTGACAGTTGGCAGTGCGTCCAGCTCGCGACGCGTGTGTCACGCGGGTCAACCTTATCCGGACGGCGACCAGCGTACATCTGCAGGTAACAGTCACGCGACTCTGCTCCCGTGGCTCCACCATCTCCACCACCGCCTCGCAAGGGTACGGTTACATCTAGGGTATCGTACGGACGGATAGTGAGGGATGCTACGCTGGATAAGCGGTGACGAGACGACGCGAACGGGAAGAGCTGACGACCTCCGTGGAGCACACGGAAAGAATTGGTCGAACAGCCGAAGCGGGCTCCATGGCGTGAGGGTTCGAAGCCTAGAGTCTCGCCGCAACGCAAAGTTGACAAGGAGAGATCTATCAACGCCTGAAGAGACGAGTTAGGGGAAATCGTGACTGGAACTATGTGCGACTCGGGCCCAGGACCTCTCAAGAAAAGCTGCATGGTTGACGTCAGGATAGAGGCGAGAAGGCGATAACAAGGTCGACCTGCCTCAAAACCAAGTAAGTAGAAAGAGGTCACCTCGTCAGGTCAACTAACAACTGCCTTATCATCAGAGCAACATGTCCGCTATTCTTGCTTTTTTGCTGCTGTGACCAAGAAACAGAGTAGACTAGAGAGAGACTTGGCTCCGTGCCGTTACCATCTGGTGACTTCGCCTGCTCGTCCTTCGTCCTTCGTCTCGGTTTCGCTCAGGGTTCTTTCCCGCTGCTTCTTCGTGCGACCGTGCGCAACAGCCATACACCGCAGAAATCGGATGTTCGGGGGCGTGTCCGAAAAGTAGCGTTTAGTGGCTGATGAGTATGTGCTTTGTTGAACTTCTTGTTCTGGAAATTCGGGTGATAGTATTTTACTTCAGTGAGTCTGAAACGAGTACACATCCCCCAGCAATTCCTTGTCCAGTTGTTCACCGACACACAATTTCCCTGGGTTGGGAACAAGAAGCACTTTAGCGGTGACACCTAGGCCACGGTGACTTGTTCGCAGCAGCTGATTGGTGGAAAGCTGTCGTCGAGCCTGTACAGTGTGAAATCTGGAGACTGGTCTTCATCTTCACTCGTCGTTCATGCAATCGCTCATGCATCCACGGATTTTCCTGGAGATTCAACCTGGGAAGAAGAGGAGACTGATAAGTCTCGAGACAGATAAAGACCACTGAATTAGGCGATCTGCACCCATTTCACTTCACTTCACGTCCGCTCACCACCACCACGTAAACTCCGTCTGCTTTCAGCAAGCTTGTCCGGCTTCTATTACGCCCCCTCTCATTCACTTTCCGGACCAGAATTTGGTTCTTTTCGCACGCAGCTTATGGCGTCGCGTCCTCAGAATGTCGGCATCCTCGCCATGGAGCTCTACGTCCCACCCAGCTTCGTCTCCCAGGTCGCTACATCTCTCACCTCCCGTAATTCGTATCCCATCTCGTTCTTCGTCAATGCATTGTTGAAATGTTACGAAAAAAACGCAACGTTGCTCGTCAATGCATCGCATCGTCATCACACCCCGGAAACAATCAACTGCATTCTTCCATGGCTATGCCTCGGGCCGGAGTTCTAGTTTGTCGCTGCCTCGATTACACTGTTCCTGCGTAATGCGTCCCGATTTAATTCCTCTACGTGCTAACGTGAAGCTCTTTTACCGCGTATGCCTGATGTATACCTGATCGATCCATGGCGTGCGGGGGAAATGCAGACGGAGTTGGAGGTGCACGACGGCGTGAGTGCGGGCAAGTACACCATCGGGTTGGGGCAGGACGAGCATGGGTTTTGCTGCGACCAGGAGGATGTCATCTCCATGAGGTGCGTTTCATCTCCGTCAGGTGCGTTTCATCCCGATGAATTGAAATGCTTAACCTGGTTCTGGTGCATTGAAGAACGCACATGAGGCAAAATTGAAAACTGCTAAAGAATAACAGCATAGACACATCGGGCATAGGACTGCAGGAGATAGGCATAGACAGTGAACAGCAACAGCAAATCCGTCACATGCTGATGTAACAAAGAAAACCTTCAAGTGTTCTCCTATTTGCTTTCCCCCCACCCGCGCAATGCAGCCTGACTGTTGTCCAACGGCTCTTAGAGAAGGACGGCATAGACGCATCGCGCATAGGGCGGCTGTAGGTGGGCACAGAGACAATAATTGGACAGCAGTTGACTTCTTAGTTCTCCCTCCCCACCATTGCAGCCTGACTGCTGTCCAGCGGCTAGAGAAGAACGGGGTGAACCCATCACGCATAGGGCGGCTGGAGGTGGGCACAGAGACAGTATTTGACTCCTTTTCTCCCTCCCCACCCATGCAGCCTGACTGCAGTCCAGCGGTTGCTAGAGAACAACGGCATAGATGCCTCACGCATAGGGCGGTTGGAGGTGGGCACAGAGACAGTGATTGACAAGAGCAAGTCCATCAAGACCGCCATCATGACGCTCTTTGAGGCCAGCGGCAACGCTGACGTGGAGGGCGTTGATTCGTGCAACGCGTGCTACGGTGGCACCGCGGCGCTGCTGAACAGCGTCAACTGGGTGGAGGGGTCGTCGTGGGACGGCCGTTTTGCCATCGTTGTTGCAGTTGACAGCGCTGTGAGTGGTGGGTGGGACATGGGTTCTGGGAGTGCTGTGTGGATTGTGCAATGTGGGATGGGGGATTTGAATTGTGGGACGTCACGTGGGATGTAGCGGGTTTGAGGAGAGAAGACACTGTGATCCCTCAAATTTGAAGAGCGGCAAGGGATATGGAGAGTCGGGTGTTGACTCTGGCCCTGGGGTGCTCTGCTGCACTCCTGCCGTGCCCCATGGTCCACATCTCCCCCTGCTCCCTCCTCACCCCGAACCTTAAACCCCGAAACCCTAACCCCTCAATCCAGGTGTACGCAGAGGGTCCAGCCCGGCCCACAGGGGGGGCAGGCGCGGTGGCGATGCTGGTGGGGCCAGACGCGCCTCTGGCGATGGAGAGTGGGCTGGCAGGCAGCTATGCCGCCCATGCATACGACTTTTACAAGCCCAAGCTCGCCAGCGAATATCCTGTAAGTAATTCCACTCAGTAGATTTTTCAGATGCATTGTTGAAGAGACTCCCCTCTGGCGGGCAGGCAGCTATGTAATTGTTCATTGGATGAAGCAAGTGGAGTGGGGTATGGACGGTGCAGCTGAAAGAGAGACTTTGAAAAGATAACCTGCAGCGAAAAGGAGTTTGGGTGCATGGACGTCTGTAAATAACATACCATAATGTTCCACTCCCTGTGCCCCCTCCCTCTCTCCCTCCCTGTGTGCGTGTGCGTGTGCATGTAGGTGGTGGATGGCAAGCTATCGCAGACGTGCTACACCAAGGCGCTTGACCACTGCTACCAACGCTTCTGTGAAAAGTAAGCTCTTAGACGCCGTCCCTCAACATACTGGGAACTCCCCTCAACTGTGAGCAGGTTCTCTCTGATTACACTCGTCCGTTCTTTTGAGACTTGAAAGCCAACACGCCTGAACCTTGCGCGTGTCATATAACAAGCAATGAATCCACTGACAGTGCCTATATTCATTCTTGCTGCCTGCCTGCCTGCCTGCCTGCCTGTGTGCTGTGCTGCAGGTACGCCAAGAAGCATGGCTCTGCGTTCTCACTGGGCGACACTGAATCCGTGGTCTTCCACTCGCCCTACAACAAGGTACGGCGATGCGCAAAGTGGCTTTTGAGTCGACTCAAAAGTCACCTCTTCCACTCGCCCTACAACAAGGTGCGGCGATGCACAAGACTCAGGGTTCATGCAAGGCGTGTGCTTTCGTACATAACTTGCGCACACTTGCACCAGTGAGCAGGCAGACTTGCGAACTCACTCACCAATCGATGTGTGTTCTGCAACTAGTATCCCTCTCATTAAAATCACCGTATGCCTTGGGATGGTATCATGGCAAGATGATAGGGCATGGCATAGTACCATGGTGATGCCAAGCCCTATGCTTCTGCTGACACGCACCTTCCCCTCCCCCCTTCCCCTCTCCCATCTCCCCGCCTCCCTGCGTGTCTCAGCTGGTGCAGAAGAGCCTAGCACGGCTGGTATTCAACGATGTGAAGAGGGGAGTGAGCAGGTGGGCAAGCACGAGGGGCTGTAGCCTGTAGGGGCAATGGGGTCGCAGGGGTGACAGGGGCAATGGGACAAGGTCACAAGGCATACAGGCTGGGTAACAGACACAAGAGCCTGGCACGCCTGGTGTTCAACGACGTCAAGAGGGGACGGGCGCAGGGAGGAAAGGGCGTAAGGGGTAACGGGCGTAGGGGCCAACATGGCCATGAGTGTGTGGGCTTCAGATGCAGAAGAGCCTGCCACGGTTGGTGCTTAATGTCATGAAGAGAAGAGTGAACAGGGTGAGGCATAGAGAAACTGCGAGAGCCAAGAGGGCAGGAACAAGCACTCACGTGACATGTCCTTGCTTCTCCCCTTCCCCCCCTCCCATTGACCCTTTTCCTCCCACGCCCATGCAGCTCATATCTGGGTGCAGGGGAGGCGGATGCACTGCAGCCTTTTGTGGGGCTGGACGAGGAGAAGAGCCTCACGGACAGAGACCTGGAGAAGGTGAGCTGCTTGCTGAGCTATCATGGCGCCTTAAATATTTCCGGGTAATGAGATGAATTTTGAGGCGCCTCTAAAGGCTGGCAGAAGAGAAGAGCCTCGTGGGCAGAGACCTGGAGAAGGTGAGCTGCTTGCATGCTGTCGTTTCACTCTGCCTGGTGGTACCTAGAACAGGTGATCCCATGGGCACTTATCTGGCCGTTCGTGGATGGAGAGGATAAAAAAAAGAGCCTTGTGGACAGATTTGCTTGGGACTTGACAGATGATCGCAGGGACACTTGTAACGCTTGTGACTAAGCCAGCTCGCTTTACCTTCCGTCTCGCTACACCCGTGCCCCTGTGGCCCTTCTCCTGGCCCCCTGCTTACAGACGGCCATGCGGGTGGCAGGTCCAGTGTACAGCAGCAAGGTGGGCCCCACCACCCTCGTGGGCAAGCGTGTGGGCAACATGTACTGTGCTTCGCTCTATGGCAGCCTTGCCTCCCTGCTCGCACAGCAAGGGCAGCAGCTGGTACGTGTGGTGGCTCTAGTTATAGGTGCGCCTATGAGCACTCATGGTGGGCACTCACTAGTGGGCAAGCGCGTGGGCAACATGTACTGTGCTTCGCTCTATGGCAGCCTTGCCTCCCTGCTCGCACAGCAAGGGCAGCAGCTGGTACGTGTGGTGGCTCTAGTTATAGGTGCGCCTATGAGCACTCATGGTGGGCACTCACTAGTGGGCAAGCGCGTGGGCAACATGTGTTGCGCTTCGCTCTATGGCCGCCTCGCCTCCCTGATTGCACAGCAGGGGCAGCACTTGGTACAGGTGTAGCAGCCTTTCTTCAGAAGCTTTAGCACCCTCTTCTCTCCCAATTCCAACTTCGCCTCTTCCCCTCTCCTTTCCTCATGTTTCTCTCATCTTTACCAGGAGGGCCGTCGGATTCTGCTCTTCTCCTATGGCTCTGGCCTCATGTCAACGCTCTTCTCGCTGACCGTGCGCCAAGCTGCTGACCCATTCTCCCTCGCCACACTCACTACTCATCTGGACGTGCACCAGCTTCTTGAGTCTCGAACCAAGGTGTGTGGGAGGGGGGGTGCGAGTGTGTGTGTGTGTGTGTGTGTGTGTGTGGGTGGGTGGGTGGGTGTGCGGGGGGGAGGGTGTGGATGAGTGGTGACAGTGCCCCCTCTTCAAGCCGTTTCCCTCCCCTTCTCCCTCACCACACTCACTGTTCATCTGGATGTTAACCATCTGCTCAGGTCTTGCACCAAAGCTGTGTTGGTGACGACACTGCTCTTTCCAAGCTGTGTTTCAATACAACCCACAAACCTGAATGTGCATCAACCGCTGGAATCTCAACAATTTGGGTTTTCTTTCTGGCAAGTTCTCTCAAGCGAAGTTCGAAGCAGAGGTGCACAGATCAACATGACATGAACACGCGTGCCTGGTCTGCTTCCTCTCTCCACTCATGCATACATGCTTCCCTGCCTGCCTTTTCCTGTTACCAGGTAACACCAGAGGAGTTTGTCAAGACAATGCACCTGATGGAATCCTGTTACGGCGCATGCTCCTTCACCCCAGCCACTCCCACGGATCGCCTTCAGCCCGGCACCTACTACCTCACGCAAGTGGATGATTTGTATCGGCGATCGTATGCGCGGAAAGGTTTAAATGCTGATAATGCGGCTGTTGATGGAGCAGTTGATGCTGCTACCAACGGGGTTGTGGTTTAGTGGATGGAGAATGGAGGTGCAATGAGGTCCAAGGAAGGGCAGCTCCAGAGTCGAGATAGCTTAGGGGTACGTGAGCTTAGTGAAAGTTTATTGTTAGCTTTTTATTCAGGTTGTACTTCTAGTGCAGAGCACGAACGCTGCACTTCGTTGGATTGCAATTCTTGCATTCAAAAGGGTCAATGTATGTTCTTACAACACTGGTTGTGCTGAAAAGGAGATTGGGAAGATACGGTTGGGAAGTTTGACGGGAACATTAATTGAGCTGAGATTGTTACACGACCGATTGACTCAATAACGAGAACATATCTTCCCACTCCAACACCCCGTCTTGGATTTTTACGTTCCCTGATATTATTAGGGTTCTTTATTATCCCATTTAGCGATAGATTTTTGTGTCCTCATCTCCTTCCTCCCGTCCATCCCTTCGTCGTTCCTCGTTCGTACGCGTCACGCCAGCATGCAGCCGGCAGCCCCCGCGGGGCAATGGGGAGGAGCGCAAGCCGCGACCGGCGCCGGCGCCGGCGCAGGCGGAGCGGATGAGCCGCGGACGCTGTGGGTGGGCGATCTGCAATACTGGATGGACGAGACGTACCTCTGGAACGCGTTCGCGTCCACGGGCCAGGTCAGTTGGCGTGCCGTTGAACTCTAGAAATTGCGAGTAATTTTAAGATCCAGCTGTAAAGAATATATCTCTCAGAGACCTCCAGTACTGGATGGTCGAGGCGTATTCTTTAGTACGCGTTCCATCGATGGGAGTTTTTGTTCCACAGGCGGCGCCAGTCGGTGTTCCATCGACCTCTACAACAAACGTTTCGGTAAAACAAAAAGATTTCAAGGATCGGCACTATGGACGAGACTTACCTTTTCTGCCACGTACGAGGTCTTAAGGTGTCCAAGCGTTTTAAAAAAATCCTATAAGATCTCTCTTTCAATTATTTGCCAAGTTGGACGGACGATACTGGAGCTCAATTGAACTGCTATTTAGTTATCCTCCTCCAAACCCGCTTCCTCCCCCAAACCCGCTTCCTCCCCCAAACCCGCTTCCTCCCCCAAACCCGCTTCCTCCTCCAAACCCGCTTCCTCCTCCAAACCCGCTTCCTCCTCCAAACCCGCTTCCTCCTCCAAACCCGCTTCCTCCTCCAAACCCGCTTCCTCCTCCAAACCCGCTTCCTCCCCAAACCCGCTTCCTCCTCCAAACCCGCTTCCTCCTCCAAACCCGCTTCCTCCCCCAAACCCGCTTCCTCCCCCAAACCCGCTTCCTCCTCCAAACCCGCTTCCTCCTCCAAACCCGCTTCCTCCTCCAAACCCGCTTCCTCCTCCAAACCCGCTTCCTCCTCCAAACCCGCTTCCTCCCCCAAACCCGCTTCCTCCTCCAAACCCGCTTCCTCCTCCAAACCCGCTTCCTCCCCCAAACCCGCTTCCTCCCCCAAACCCGCTTCCTCCCCCAAACCCGCTTCCTCCCCCAAACCCGCTTCCTCCCCCAAACCCGCTTCCTCCCCCAAACCCGCTTCCTCCCCCAAACCCGCTTCCTCCCCCTTTTTACCGTGGTACTTCCCCCCGTGTCCATCGCCAAAGGTTGCAAATGCGAAGATAATTCGCAACAGGGCAACAGGGCAGCCCGAGGGGTACGGGTTCGTGGAGTTCACAACTCATGCAGCAGCGGAGCAGGCGCTAGCGGCCTATCAGGGCACGCCCATGCCTCAGGCGGAGCAGCAGCCGTTTCGCATCAACTGGGCCGCGTTTGGCGCCGGGGAAAAAGGGTGAGCGTGGGGAAGGGAATGTGGTTGTGTGCGGGGAATGCATGAGGGAAGGTTGGGGAGTGCGTGGGGTATGGGAGGGGGAATCCGTGGGGGAAGAGTGGGAAAGCGTGGGGCGTGGGTGGGGTGTGGGTGGGGCGGGGTGTGTGGGCGGAGACGCTTGGGAGAGCAGCAGGCGCTAGCGGCCTACCAGGGAACGCCAATGCCTCGGGCGGAGCAGCAGCCCTTCCGCATCAACTGGGCCGCGTTTGGCGCCGGGGAAAAAGGGTGAAGGCGGGAAAGGTTGGGGTGTGGGTGATGTGGAATGCGTGAAGTAAGGGCGGGGAAGGCGTGGGGTGTGGTGTGGGGGGAGGTGGGGTGCGTGGGTGGAGGTACTTGGAAGCACCGCACGCTCTGACCACCTACCAGGGCACGCCCATGCCTCAGGCTGAGCGGCATCCATTCCGTGTCAATTGGGCAGCGTTCGGCGCTGGGGAAAAAGAGTGAGGGGAGAGGGTGGTTAAGAGTGGTGAGGAAATAAACAAGCAGGGGAGAGAGGGAGGCAGGGGCGGTGGGGGAAGCAGTGGAGGGAGGGGAGGACATTCGAGAAGTCCACAATGCCAGTGCAGTTGCTCTAGTGGGTGCGGTGCGTGCATTTGTTACACGTGTGCATGTCGCCACGTCACCTCCCCTCCACTTCCCCCTGCATCCCCTACCCCTCCATGTCAGTGGTGGGCACATCAGATGTGTAATTCAATCAGACGGGCAGGAGTTTTTAATATTCGTGGGCGACCTGGCTCTGTCAGATGTGTTCATCCTGCTTCTTTTCTTCCGCCCACCATGCCCCCTCTCCCCCGCATCCCCTCTTTGTACCAGTGGTGGGCGCCCGGCGGATGGGCAGGAGTTCTCCATATCTGTAGGCGACCACCAAATATGGAGAACTCCTGCCTGCGCCTTTCTCTCTTTCCCCACCTCCTCCCCTCTGCATCCTCTCCCCCCACCTCCGTACCAGTGGTGGGTGGCCAGCGGACGGGCAGGAGTTCTCCATATTCGTGGACAGGCGACTGGCCTCCGTAACACCTTCCTCCTTCTCCCCCCTCTCCCCTCGCAATTCTCTTCTTCATACTGTGTGTGTACTACCAGTGGTGGGCGGCCAGCGGACGGGCAGGAGTTCTCCATATTCGTGGGCGACCTCGCTCCAGACGTGAACGACTACTTGCTCTGTGAAACCTTCCGCTGCCGCTACGGCTCCGTGAGAGGCGCCAAGGTGATGCCAGGGGGAGGGTTTAGGGCTCATGGCTCATGGTTCCGGGTTAAGAGTTCCAAGCTTAGGGTTGAGGTTGAGGGGTGCGTATGGCAGGCATGACCTGGCCTCCAAGACCTGGCCTCCAAGACCTGGCCTCCAAGACCTGGCCTCCAAGACCTGGCCTCCAAGACCTGGCCTCCAAGACCTGGCCTCCAAGACCTGGCCTCCAAGACCTGGCCTCCAGACGTGAAAGACTATCTGTTTTGCGAACCTTCCATTGCTGCTACGGCTCCGTTTTAGGTGAGGGCAAGGGAAGGGCTTAGGGCAGCGGGCTCAGGGCTTGGGTTTTAGAACTTCAAGCTCGAGGGAAGGTTTAGGGTCGAGGAAAATGTAAGTGGGCGAACAAGGGGTATAGCTTTGTGCAGCTTTCCTTTGTGGACTTACTGTCTTTTCCTTTCCCATCAAAATCTTCCAACTCCTCCCTCCCTCCTGCGCTCCCCGCGCCTGTCCCGCTCTCTGCCTTCCCCTTCTATATAACAGGTGGTGGTGGACAATGTGAGTGGGCGCACCAAGGGGTATGGCTTCGTGCGATTCTCCTCAGAGGGCTGAATCCACCCTCTTTCAATTCCCTCCCCTCTTCCCCATCGTTCCCTGCTTCTCCTTCCTCGCTATTGATCAGGTGGTGGTGGACAATGTGAGTGGGCGCACCAAGGGGTATGGCTTACTGTGTAAAGGACTGAATCCCCCTCCGTTCCCCACCACCCCTCTTCACCATTCCGCCCCCCCCTCCTGCTCTATCTGCCATTTCCCTTCCACTGAACAACAGGTGGTGGTGGACAATGTGAGCGGGCGCACCAAGGGGTATGGCTTCGTACGATTCTCGTCAGAGGAGGAGCGGGACCGTGCATTGCACGAGATGAACGGCCAGATGTGCTCCTCCCGCCCCATGCGCATCAGCGTCGCCACTCCCAAGAAGCCTGGAGCTCCGGGGCAGGGTAAGGGGAAGAGGGTGGGGCAGGATGGGGCAGGATGGGGTAGGATGCGGCAGGATGTGGCAGGATGTGGCAGGATGCGGCAGGATGTGGCAGGAAGGAGCAGGGTAAGAATGGGTAATGGCTGTAGGGTGGAGATGTGTGATGTGATGTGCTCCTCCCGCCCCATGCGCATCAGCGTCGCCACTCCCAAAAAGCCTGGAGCGCCGGGGCAAGGTGAGGGCAGGCTAGGGGGCGGCAGGCTGTGGGAGGAGGGGGTAAAGATGGGTAGCGGGCGGTGGGTTAAGGTGGGAATGTGATGTGCTCCTCCCGCCCCATGCGCATCAGCGTCACCACTCCCAAGAAGCTTGGGCACAGGAGGCAGGCTGGAGTCACTTTTCAGAATCTTTCAAACTCACAAGGCGCTTTGTTCCTTTCTTTACGCGATTTCTTGACCTGATCTTCGCCCTCACTTCAGGTGGCCCGCAGGGTGGGCAAGGCGGAGGCGCAAGGGGCGAGGTGACCTTTGAGTCGATCCAAATGGCACCTCTCCTGAAGCATTTAGTTGTTTTCCTTGACCTGATCTTCGCCCTCACTTCAGGTGGCCCGCAGGGTGGGCAAGGCGGAGGTCCAAGGGCAGGCCCTCAGCCCCAGGTGCAGGGACCAGGGGGCGAGGACGACCCCAGCAACACCACGGTGAGCTGAGGCAATGTGTGGCAATGTGTGGCAATGTGTGGCAATGTGTGGCAATGTGTGGCAACGTGTGGCAATGTGTGGCAATGTGTGGCAATTTGTGGCAATGTGTGGCAATTTGTGGCAATGTGTGGCAATGTGTGGCAATTTGTGGGTTGGCTGGGCAAGGGGCGGGCGAGGGCAGGCCTCCAGCCACAGGGACCAGGGGGAGAGGACGACCCGACCAACAGCACAGTGAGTGAGCAGATTGTATGGTGGCTGGTCAATGGGAGGGGCGAGGTCAGATCTTTAGGCTGAGAAGCCAGAGGGAGAGGACGACCCTACTAACACTGTGGCATGGATCGTGAACCGGGTGCTGTTGGGTCATTCTAGATATGTGTGGGCTGGGCGGCTTGAACCGGATTGTGGCAGGTGAGGGGCTGAGCGTGGTATCTGGTTGGACGGGAAAGGCTGAGATGGTGTTTGAGTCGACTCTAAAGCGACCTTCTCCTTCCCGCTTCCTATTTCACTGTCCATTCCTCGTCTTTGTTTTGTTTGGGGGGAGGGGGGCAGGCTTGAATTGAGTGTGACAGATGGGCAGTTTAGGATGGTGTTTGGGCTGTGGAGCGAGCTGAGGTGGTGTGGTGTTTGAGTCGATCGTACAGCAATGTTTGCGTTCCGTTATTCTTGCTGTTTCACTGCCCATCCCACGGCAGATCTTTGTGGGAGGGTTGGACCAGAGTGTGACGGACGAGCAGCTGAGAGCGGTGTTTGGGCCGTGGGGCGAGCTGGTATATGTGAAGATTCCCTTTGGCAAGGGCTGTGGCTTCGTGCAGTTCCGACACCGGTGGGTGCATTGGGTGGGTGGGGGTGGATGGCTCATGTGCCTTGACATTCGCCACCCTTCCTGCATTCTGACAGGGTGTCCCAACCAGTATCCCACTTTTCCCTGTTCACTACTGTCCGCCCTTTTTTTGTTTTCCTTTCCCTGTTCTTTTCCTTGTTTTGCTTGCTTCCTTCCCTCACTTCTTCCATTCCCCACCTCGTTTCCTTCCGCCGCTGGCAGATCACAGGCAGAGGAGGTGCTGAGGAACATGCACGGCACGGACTTTGGGTTTTGAGACACCTCAGAAGCAATTTCTGTGTTGTTTACTGCTTTCCGTCCTGCTAATCCTCCCCCGTCGTTATATCACAGGCAGAGGAGGCGCTGAGGAGCATGCATGGCACGGTCATTGGGTTCTGAGGCACCCCATCAGAATCAATTTCCGTGCTGTTTACTGCTTTCCGTCCTCCTTTTCCTCGCCTCCCCCCACTGTCAGATCGCAGGCAGAGGAGGCGCTGAGGAACATGCATGGCACAGTCATCGGGCAGCAGTCTGTGCGGCTCTCATGGGGCCGCAATCCCGCCTCAAAGGTATTTATACCTCATGCATATGTATGTGCATGTGCATGTGTATGTGCATGTGTATGTGCATGTGTATGTGTATGTGTATGTGTATGTGCATGTGCATGTGCATGTGCATGTGTATGTGCATGTGCATGTGTATGTGCATGTGTATGTGTATGTGTATGTGTATGTGTATGTGTATGTGTATGTGTATGTGTATGTGTATGTGTATGTGTATGTGTATGTGTATGTGTATGTGTATGTGTATGTGTATGTGTATGTGCATGTGTATGTGCATTTGCATGCGCATGCATGTACTTGTGCATGCGTGTGGTCAGAGGGATTCCATGTGGTCATGTACATATAATGAAACCATCTGGACATTTTTATACGCAGGATGTGTCTTTTAGCTTCATACCACTTCTCTGTTTCGTTTTTCTCACTCTAATGCCTCTCCTGGCTGCTAATTTTCTGTTGTCTCCTTGTTTTATTGTGATTCTTTGCACAGCGTACTTCAACTAACCCCTCCCAAGGCTCTCAGTGGCAGCAGCCACAGCAGCAGCATGATCCCAACACAGCAGCAGCAGGTGGTTGGGGCGCTGCTGCTGGTAACACTGGTTACTATGGAGGGTACAGTGGTTACGATGCTTCAGGGGGCTACAACCAGGGAGCGTATGCTTCGTATGGTGGATATGGAGGTTACGGGGGCTACGGCCAACAACAGGTATGTGCACATTAGAAAGTTTCAAGCAGTCAGATATATATATATATATATATATATATATATATTAATGAGGGGACTAGCGGGGTTCAATAATACGTTTAGCTCATAGTGTACTGGCTTGACTGCATACTTGGATGGACCTCTCTGTATTCACATCGTTTTTTACTGTGGTGCCAGGCTTGGCCTCAAGCTCAAGCTGCTCCAGCTGCAGCAGCAGCATCCCCTGCCACAACACCAGCACCACAAAGTGCAGCAGCAGCGCCTGCTTCTGGATTTGCAGCTGGAGTGACCCCAGAACCCTTCGATCCCCTGCGCCCCCTTGACGTGGACAAGTGAGCTAATTGCTACCCGTCATGCTTTTAATCCCCAATCTTTGCCACCCTCGTTATCTTCCCTTCCTCAGCAGATTTTGTGGCCGCATGCATGATGAGTTTGCCAACTTCATTAGTTTCTGTCCATGCGCCCAATGATTCTTTGCAGGATGAATGCTCAATATATGGCAAAGCACGAGGGGTCTCTTGTGCCTCATCATGTTTGGTTCAAAATGCCAGAATCAGCAACTGCATAGAGCGTTTTGCACACCGTATCAGTAGTAACTTCACTTGGAGCATTGATATTGTCATGACAGTGTTATAGGGTTAGCTTTTCAAGCTATGACACAGTATATTCACATGCTCACCCCTTGAACCAAAGACACCAGAGCAGAGCACAAGTGGGCACAAGCTCTGCCAGCACATAATCGTTCCACTCATGTAGGTGACCTTGGGCTCACTGGAGAAGTCCACCTTTTGTGCAGGGCTTTGAGTTCATGCACGATCTGTGAAAATGATGGCCTTTCAGAAGGTTTCCTGTTTCGGAAAAAAAAGTGGGAACCTTAGAAACGAGAATCCAAGAAGGGGAAACTCGAAAGGTTATGGGACATACTCTGCCCAACAAGCTCTGATGATTTCTGAAACAGCAGGATCAACTGACGCTGGTATATCCAACCTCCTTTGCTGGAATCCAACAGCTCCAACAACTTGCATGGCGTTCAAGCCTCTCCACGGGCGTTGCATGGTTGAGAGCTCCCAAAGGACTACACCAAAACTGTAAACATCACTCCTGAAAACAAATTGAACAGAAAGCACACATTTACTGAACTGTTATGATTAAAAGAGGGGGGAAAGAGTGGAAAAATGAGCCGGATGTTTAGGCGGGAGCGGCTGGAGCACAAGCAAACAACCCACTTCTCATTTGTAGGTTCATTACGCAGCACTTCTGGGGCCATCCACTCTGGCTGCAAAAGATGACAGGTGACGTCAAACTCAGCTACAGCAACAGTGGAGCAGAATGGGTCATACATACTGTTCCAGCTGCAGTCCTTGACGAGAGATAAGTCTGATGCTTGATCTTTGACAGGCCGAAGTCACAAACCTAGAAGGCACCTGTGTCAGTGTCGCTGCACGTTTCACAGTCCAAGAAATAACGCACATAGAAGAATGTTTTACCTTCACGACCCAATTCTTATCCACAAGAAGATTTTGAGATTTGAGGTCTCTGTGAACGATAGGAGGGTTGCAGCAGTGAAGGTAATTCATCCCCTTTGCCTGCAAACATAACGTCACTCAGATAGCGTTTACTGTAGAAGGGGATCCTACAAGAGCACTAACTCACCACATCCAGGGCCATCTTTAATCGTCGTCGCTCATCCATGCTTGAAGATGCATTTGGCCTCGTCAGCAGTCGGAAAATACTTCCCCTGCCACTCCAAGAAGTTAACCACGAGGGTTCACAATCACGTAATGCTACAAAACACACATACCTTGGGAGAAATTCTGTCACAATTGACAGATGTGGAGGGTCAATAATTGCACCCATGAAAAGCAGAATGTTCGGATGACGTAGCCGATGCATCATAGCAACCTGTGCTCGGCGGTAGAGTGAGATTATCCAGGGTACATTAAAACTATGATGATGCGGGAAGGATTCGGCCATATGAATACGGTACCTCAGACTTGAAATCTTCAACTGCGTCAGCTGGAATTTCTTGATCGATCAGCTTCTTCACTGCCACCTCCTGCCAAAAGCGAGTGTTAACAGGGTACAATCCGCCAACCAGACCAAGCAAAGCCAGAATAAAAATTCGTACAAAGCCATTCCATTCGCCCTTGAACACTTCTCCAAAGGACCCTGCAATTGCAAAACAGTTATTGAATATATGGGAGCTTTGATTGTTTGGGCCACAATACAATACGTACCTAGTCCCACTCGTTCTCCAAGTGACACTGCCCCCCTTGGAATCAAATAGCCATCCATCGTATATATTTTGATCTCTTTTGCGAAACTAAAATCGTTTGGGTCTTCACATACTGACTGCGAAGCATTTTCACCGTTGTTGTCGTTTTTATCTGCCATGAATACACCCTTCTGTTGAAAAATGCACATGAACACTTCACCTGGCTTATTTTCAAGCTTTCCTTCATGCATTACCTGCTTCCAACCTTTCTTCCTCTGTTTCCACAGCCTGAACAGATTAAGATGTTCTGGTCAGGCAAAAACTTGAAAAAATGCTTATGACTGAGAACAATAAGATACTTGTTACCTGATTGTCTGAAAACAGCTGTCGCTTTTCTTTATCAGGAGACTGCAGAACAGCCTGAGAAAGAAAGTTTCAACATGAGTTGATGACACGCATTTACCTGTCATGATGAAAGTTTGTAATACCTTTAGCCTCTGAGCAAATCGTGGATTCTCCTTGGCAACATCTGCAACAAGCATGGGAACTTGTGGGGAACCCCACCCATCCGTCCAGGAAGGTGATCTGCGTTTCTTCCTGTCTTCGGGACGAAACATTGGGCTGCTGCTTCCGACATCTGATCCACTATTAGCACCAGATTGATCACTCGGAGGCGTTTGCCCAAAACGTGTTTTCCGAGAATCAGGTTCTGGTCCTGTTAGGGTGACTCGAGTCAAAGCTTAAGGTTAACAGGCTTAAAATTGAACCGTTGTACACGTACCGTCCTTCCACTGTAATTTCGCCATCGATGCCACCAATATGGGAAAGAGCGCTGTCCCCACTTCACAGTATTCACCAACAGGACTTGCAATTGGTGAAATTGTAGGCGTTTCCAGGTTTGTAACCGGGACTAAAAGGCCTGGCGCTTTCATTAGGTCAACCACATATTCTGAACCATTTTCATCTCGAATCTTGGCCCTTGCATCATCCTTTGTGCCAGTGTAAAAGCGACCACGGACAACGCAGCAGGGTACGCCAACTTTATCCGCCAGCACCTGGAAGACAACACGTGCCAATGGAGATCACTCAAACAAAACGCAAATGGTAAAGCAAGTTTGACATACCTTAAAGAGAAGGACCCTGTGCCTGATCAATCCAGAAGTAATCAAGCCAAGTGAAATGTAGTGACTCCGAAATGCGCTCTTGATCTTCCAATATACAGATCGCCAGTCAGACTGCAGCGTCTGGTCTGATTCTGCTGTTCCTCCCATACGGTTTGCAACAAGCTCTGCCAAACGAACTGCGATGCCTCGCCAACCAAGTTTTGCAGTTGTGCAGGCGCCGGAAGGACTGGTTGGACTATCAATCAAAATTGCTTTGCGTTCAAGAAGGATCAGCTCAGCGTCTGACTTTCTGTCCACTAGAACAGCCTCAACGGTCGCTGGGAAATTGTCAAGGATGATGGATGATGACAATGGAAACTGCTCGGCTGCTCCCCAAACGTCAACGAAACCATCAGGGACTTTGTCCCCATATGTTAGCATGTTCTTCTTCTGCGCATTTGTCAGCGTTAACTTAGGCTGGGATGACATAAGCAAGAACGGCAGACATACCCAGTAAGTTTCAGAGAAGGCAAGTGCTGCGGTGACAGGTGATTCCGGTGGGGTCGATACGCTTAATCCGCGCAGAGACTTGATGGAGCTCCATGTGTTGAGCTCAACGGAGGAATTGATGAGGGCAGATGATAATACGGCGTGGGCGTCTTCATCTGGTGTGCTTGTGACCTTCGCTTCGTCTACACCTGACGTGGTTTCATCTGGTGCGTTTGTGACCTCAGTCACGCTCGAAGGTGAATAACCTGGATTCATCGTGGAGATGGGGAGCTGGGATGTGGTTTGTGTGAAAGGTTCCAGGCAGAAATGAATTCAAGTCATGGAAGGAGAAAAGAAGGGAAGGAACAACCAGGTTCCAGCTGCAAACATTTTCCCTAGTGGATGTTTCGTTATTGACACAAAAGGGTTGTGGCGAAGTGACAGTCGCCAGTTTTGGTTGTTGCCAACAAATTACTGAACACACTTTAGCGTCTTTGGTACAGTTCAACTTTTGCTGCTGTTCCCACATCCACAACCGCACCTCCGAGCAGCGCTTTTAGTAGCCAGTTTATCCTTAGCAAATTCAGGCTGGCCAGCGAACCGTCAGCATCATGTCGTTCCTGAACAGATTGCTAAGTTCTCAAGAAGCCCGAGTTAAGGGAGGGATGGCGCACGATTCTTTGGTTGATGGTTTGCGTTCGTCTTTGAAGCTCGATGAGGAGAAGTCAGAAGGTTCCGATGGCGAGTTTTGTGCGATATGTTGTGAAGACACGTCTGCGGACTTATACTTCATCCCTTGCCGCCACAAAGCGTGCGCAGATTGCGTCCAGAAGCTCAGACAGTCCGCTGTTTTCAAGGTCGTGATGCTAACCAGTTTCTGTGTGGTTGTTTGTCAGTAGCCATGGTTGCAACTAGAGTAATCATGAACGTGAATCCTTACGTCTCGTTGCATGCAGGCTGATAAAGGAGTCCGCTGCCCTTTCTGCCGTCAGATTGTTGAAAGCTATTCCAACACGTTACCTCCAGTCAAATGCATCAAGCCTCAAGATGATTACTTGCGAGAAGAAAGGCAATCCTTTCAGTTACTCATTGGAGCTGGGAGCGCCAAAGGGTTGGCCAAAGAAATTGTTCGGTATGGACGGAGCGGAGTTGTCTCAGTTGGGGGATTGAATGAGTATGTTCCTCCTCCAAGCGTCACTGGGGCTGATGGGAGTGGATTGCGGTTGAACACGCGACCGGATGACCTGAAAGAAGGTTACATTGTCCCTCCTCTGAAGCCTTACGATGACTTCGTCGCCATGGCTTATGATCGCACAGTACGTTGTTGCATGAATGGTTTATTCGTTGTCATAGCGATTTGGTATTGACCTGCTGCGTTTCATACACTACCAGGGGTCAAGGCACCTGGCCTACCACTTGCGTCCAGGAAACCCTAGAAGGTATAGGGTGGGAAAACAAGCTCTTGAAAGTCTCGCTCCTCATGCCGCAAAGCTCTCAACACATTGTGAGTCACCACCCTTCGCCATTGGTCCTCAGAATTCCTATTTCTTCGTTCTCTGACATTCTCTGTTTAGTGTCAGGAAATTATGTCCTGCAAAAGCTTTTTGACTATGCGAGTAATGCGAGGAATGAGGTGGTTCATGGGGAGTGTGGCTTCACCTCCATTGTGCGCTTTTTGACCCGTGACAAGGGGCTAGTGACTTCTTCAAAAGATCAGCGGGGTACCTTTACAATTCAGAAAATGGTTAGTTAGAAGGAATTTTGCACTGATTCAGGAAGATGGATGCATTATCTTACAACCTGTCTGGTGGTCTGGCAGCTTGTGTGCCTCTATGGAGCTCAAGAAATGAAGATGGTTATGGAAAGCATTAAAGGAAGCATTGTAAGGCTCCTGAAGCTCTCCCTCTATCTCTTTGTCTTCAAAGCGACAGACTGATTCACGGTTTTTACTGTGCAGCTTTCAATGGTGATGGACCAGTTTGCAGTCTATGTTATTGAAAGAATCGTAAGTTGCTGTTTTTCCCAGTATCCCTTTTGAGCTGCTTTTCAGTTGTGTATCCAGTGAATTCATTTTGTCATTGCATAAACTTCTGCAGGCTGAAATATGCATTTGTTCCTTACGCCCGCCTATGGGAATGAAAGCACGAATTCCACCATCCTTAGCGTTCACTTCTTTAGCACAAATCTGTGCGGAGCTTGGTAAAGATCAAGAAACGTCAGTTCATGTTGGACAGCATGGGGTAAGTCTCGACCTACTGCCGTTTTTGTTTTCTTTGTGAAGCTATTGTTTGCGTCATAACTGGTGTTTTCGATGAATTCAGCTGGCATCACTGCTTCTGATTGAGAGTATTCGCTGGTCATTGCCTTCAACGCACGCAATTGCTGCTGCTCTGAATATGGCGAGTGGTGGTAATAAGCTCTTAAAGACCCGCGCTGGAGTTCGCTCCATGCAAGGCCTCTTGAGGTATAGTGCTTGAGGCTCCTTCTTATTTCAACCACTTCCATACGCATTTGTTAGCTGACTCGTTTTCTATTACGCTTGTCTCAGCTTGGATCTGGTGGAAGTAGCCGAGACTATGCTGGGGTCCATGTCTGGCTGCTTTTCAGACATGGCTTGTGATACCTCCCCGCTGCAGAGTGGGCGGCTGCTTCGAGCGTGTCTTGCAACACCATCTTGTAAGTTTTGTTAAGCGCTGCATTGCTGGAAAGTGGTTCATTCATATTGTTCTTACATATTATGCTGTCGAGAGTGCAGTACCATCAGCGTCACGGGCAAGAATTGTTGATGAACTTCTCGAGGCTGCTGCACATGTTTCATATTTTTCCAAGTCTGAGCAAGCCCTGGAAATTCTGTGTTTTGGATTGAGCATCCTTCCTGACGAGTAAGTCGCATAGTCTTTACATGCAATTGAGCCAGTATACATTTTGTGCTTCACTTATGTACTCCTTGACCACAATCACAGAAGTTATGGAACAATTTGATGATTCATTGTTTGTTCCATTACGTTTCAGCTAGCATATAGGTGGGTCCCGTTCTGCTATCTCCCTCTACACCCCATCCCTGTTTTCCTCTGCCAATTCTCCGCTTTGTCGCACCCCACCATCATCTCATCCTTCTGTGAATTTTACACCTCCCCCCCCCCTGCCCCCTTTTCGGTTGGCTCTTCTTTCCCTACCCCTCCCTCCCACTTACAGCATGTTGAATGTGAGGGTCGACCGAGTGTCAAGTCTGCTAACTTCGCAAGCATTTCATCATCTTCTGACGACCCTTGAGTACATGAGAAAGACCTACTACACAGAATCAGCTAAACCTCTTGGTCATTCTGAGAGGGTTAATCAGGCCGCAGCAGTCACTTCGGCCATTGCTGTTCCTCTCGCATCGGAAGCTTTCCCGGAGCTCTTGAAGCCGAAGCCAGCAAATCCTTCTAATCAGTCAATTCGTAGTGCTGATTCTTCTGTGAAGGAAAAGTGGGTTGCACAGCCTTTTTCAGTTCAAGTCTCACATCCAAAGCCAGAACCACTCCTTCCTGTTCAGAATCTACCGTCTGATTCTTCTTATGGCAACAACTCTACAGAACTTTCATGTGTGAAATCAGAATCAAGTGCAGGTGAAGCAGATGATGCTAGTTATGGATGCTGTGTGGTCTGCAAGTCCCAGCCTGCCACTGTGGTGAGTTCTTCTATCTTCTCTACAGAACCGTGCTATTGAGAATGCAGCTCTGATTGATTAATTCTCACGTTTTTGCAGCTTCTTCTGGAGTGTTCTCACGTGTGTACATGTGCCAAGTGCTCTCCATCATTGGCTCTTTGCCCCATCTGCAAGAACCCAGTATCGCTGACCATTGAGCTTCAGATGTCATCTCCTCCACCTTCAACAAATGCTCCCTTAGGGTCGGTCTGTGATGCTGAAGCCGACCAAATGCCACATATATCTGCAGCTGCTACTACCAGCAGTGTTTCTGGACTACAGCAAAGTACCAACTGGCAAATGGGTAATGCTGAAATGCAGCAGCAGGCTGCCTTCGCCTCTGGAACCACTTCTGGTTTTTCGTCCTCCTTATTTTTGTCGGACCCACTCAACTCCTTGCCTTCGTCGTATCAGCCGCCGCTCTCTCAAGGAGCCAGTTCTTTTCAGCCATTGTCGCAAGCCGTTCAGACTGAGAATCACTCTGTCCCGAGTGGGAGCTTTGAATATCTACCAGCAGCTCCTATCTACCAGTTTCTGGGGAACAGCAGCCAGAGTGGCACATTTGCTCTTCAGCACTCTCATGTTTTCGCACAAGCTCCACAGTTTCCAGAAGCCTTTGTTCCGAGTAATCCCCTCACTCACTCGGATGCTTTTCTTCATGCCCCTCGCTCGCTCAGTCCTGCAGCACTGAGTTGGCCACAGAGTGATGGCCAGAATGGCCTTGGCTCGGCAGTGAACAGACAAGTTCGTGCACCATCAATGTATCAGCCACCAGGGCTGTTTTAACTGCCCTGTGCTGAGAACTGTGCAATGTCCCAGCCAATTCTATTGATGCTAGCTCATTTACTAGGATTATCAAGACCGGAACGTTTTCCCGCTGCACCATTCTTGGTTCGTCGCTTCATTTTGTTCCACTCCTGCTGCCCGTCTGACCTAACTCTGCTGTCCCCTTCATATACTGGATTTTCATGACTGCTGAATTCTGCCTGGTTGATTCTCTTACCCATAGTTTGAGCTGCACTTGAACCAGTTGGATGCATGTGAAGATGTGATCTAATAGAGGTAGGATTTCTGTCCGCAATTGTACCTTATTGTTGATGACTTTGGAAAGCATAGCATTCGGTGTACACTTTAGTGACACTTCACGCTGACTGAACTTTCGATAGTAGAATCTCCTCAACAATCACATTTTCTGGATTTTGAATGTGCGTTTGGCTGAGGCCCTCTGACCAAAAGCCTGATGACCACTCATCGCAGTTTTCGCCCTAGCTGGTCTGTTGCGCAGCCTTGTTCCCGCAACCGCCTTTTGCGCGCGCATATTGTACACCGCTTCCCACCGCCCACGCCCCACCCCGTCATCCACAGCCGTCCGCTATCCTCTTCTCCCCCCTGCCTATCTCATCCTCTCCGCTTCCTTTCCCCTTCTTCTCGCTCCGCCTCTTTTCTTCGGGTGGCATGTGACTCGCGATTTCGATTGCTGCTTGTGGAGCAGTGAGCATAAAAGCTAGGGTTACCAAATCCCACAGTTTTTGCTTCTTTTCCTTTCTTCCTCCTTCCAGTTCAAATCATGGCCGTTCTCCGTATCCATTGACAACGTGTCCTTGTCGCAATATGGACTGCTAACGTTCCGTTCGTTCCCATATCTGACAACACCTTATCCACTTAGAGATTAATTGTTGCGACCTTCTTGTTGTTGCGGTTGCGACGAAGCTACGGGAACTTGAGTTGGCTGCATAGCTCGTTTCTGCGGTTTTGAGGTGTTTCCTTTAGGTAAATACACTCCGTCATTTACACGATAATATCGCGATCGTTAGCCAATTTGCGTCGGCCTTGTAGAGTAGTCCTCATACTCACGGTCGACGCTGCAATCGCCTGTACAGCTGTTCGTTAAGTTCCCCACGGTGGAGGACTGAGTCCGATATGCTCCTTTCATGGTCCCCATTAGGCATCCTAAATCTCTTTGAACAGTATTTGCTGGTCCTTTGGGCTTAGATTTAACAGACGGGAAGGGTTGCCTTGAGCAGCGCGGTCTGGAACGGCAGATTTGCGTTGGACTAAGCTGTCGGAAACTGGATCTTTGACAGAAACGAAGCGCTAGATATTTTCGGAAGTAGTTGAAGGTTATTGTCTCCCTAGGCTAGCTCATCGCTGTTTCCGAATGCTAAGCGGTTTTCATAAGTTAGGGAATTTGACACGCGTCCGGTGCTGGGTGGTTAACGACTACTGTGTGTCGACTGATGCTTAGTGGTTGGTGGAATGTGTTCAGGCAAGCTGGATCTGCGAAGAAAGCGAAATGCCCGGTAGATGTTCAGCGTTGATCCGACAATGTACTACCCTTATAGACAAGATGCCTCTGTCAAGGAGGTATGTCTCTACACTCTCGCGGTCGCCTCCGTATCCTCGGCATCCGCTGCCGTCGCGGGTTGAGACTGTCAATTTGTTGGCTGGAAACCTTGTTTTTCCTTGCGGATTCCCTGTTGGCTCGCCGTTTTCGCAATTCTGTGCGTTTTTTTTACACAGACAGATTGCAAAATGACTTGTCCTATGGCCTTGCAGCAGTCGATGCAGCAGTCGATGCTTAACACATCAACACCAGCCGTGCTTGATTCGGGGAACTCCAGTCGCCAGTTCGCATCATCGTTTGCGGCGCCACAGACACAAGCAGCAAATCCAGGAGCGTTCCATCACGGAGGTACGCTGAGTCTCCTTTTTTTTTGTTTTTTTTGTTTTTTTGAATCGGCGAAGTCACCAGCACCACACACAGGTCCAGGGACGTTTCATGGGGAGGTAAGCTGAGCTCTCGTCCACGCGTCTGGTGGGCGCGTTCTTTCTTTTCGTGGCGTGGACTTGCAATTGCATAGAGCTTATCCCGTCTCGTTTTTTGCAGTCTTTTTTTGTTGGTTTGTTTGTTTTTTTTTTCCAACACAACTTCTCCGTCATGTGGCAACTTTCACTCGCTGGTGACCGGCTTCAGCACACCGGACACGCAGAACTTCCTTGAAATTTCTTCCATTGTTGTACCTTCCGTATATAATCAGGTAACTTGCAATCGCTGCACAATGTGCAAGCGACGGGGTACAGCATACAGAGTATGCAGAACGCACTTACGAGAGGCACGGGAATGGGCGGAGTGCCCTCCGCGCAGTCGCAACCTCCGTCCGCAGGCAACATGGCGGCAGGCCGGTTCAGCACCAGCGCACTCCCTACCAACCTGCAGCAGGTAAGGCAAGGGGAATGGGGGAAAGAGGCGGTGAGGAAGGTGGAGGAGGAAAGGGGGGGGGAGTGTGGGGAGGATAAATTTTGCTTGCTCCGAGGCTTTTAGGTTGTTGTAAAAAGCACTGGTCAGCACGAGGAAGCTGAGGCGAGGGTGGGGTTTGCTTGGCGCTCTTGGCGTTTCGTGACTGGCTGGCTATCTGTCATGTGCTCGCCTTGTGCTCGTCCGCCTGCGTCTCGCTGCATCTCTCTCTCTCTCTCTCTCTCTCTCTCTCTCTCTCTCTCTCTCTCTCTCTCTCTCTCTCTCTCTCTCTCTTCCTCTCTCTCTCTCTCTCTCTCTCTCTCCCTCCCTTCCTCTCTCTCTCTCTCTCTCTCTCTCTCTCTCTCTCTCTCTCTCTCTCTCTCTCTCTCTCTCTCTCTCTCTCTCTCTCTCTCTTCCTCACTCTTTCTCTCTCTTTCTCTCCCACTTTCTCTCCCTCTCCCTTCGTGACGCAAAACTCTCGCGTTCTCTTTTCTTTTGCAACCTCATCGCTCTTCCCCCACGTCCTCATAACAACAACTCCTCCTTCCATCACCACCAACACCACATCCACCAACTGCCACCGCCATCTCCGCTGTCGCAGCAGCAGCAGCAGATCCCAGGGCTGCACGCGCACACAGGTGCGGTGACCAACCGTGGGAGCGGAGTGAGCTTAGTAGGCGGCCACCCTTTCGCCGGCAGCATGAGCGGACTATCCGGCGGAGCAGGCGCGCCCGGAGTAGCAACAGCGGGCGGGGGAATGAGCGGGATGACCGGAATGAGCGGGATGAGCGGGATGAGTAACGTGCCTGGACAGAGAACAATTGGCTCCGCGGGTCTAGGGGTGAACCCGTCGCAGATTGCGGGGTCTGCGGGGAGACTAGGCGCGCCCGGGTCGTTGGGCATGGCAGGGGCGGGCGGAGGGATGGGGCTTTCCGCGGGGGCAGGCGCGGGGGCGAGCGCGGGGCTGTCTCGGGCGATGAACCCCGCAGGCGCGCTGGGCATGTCGACGGTAGGGGGAGCGCGCGCGTTGGGTTCGGTAGGGCTGGGGGGAAGTGTAGGGGCGGTGGGCGTGCAGGGGCCTGGCCGGCCGTTGGGAACAGGAATGATGTCCGGGCAGGGGCAGGGACAGCAGCAGCAGCAGGCGCAGCAGCAGCAGATGTTGGCGTTAGGGTTGCAATCGCAGGGGCAACACCATCACCAGCAACAGCAGGTGGGGGTTGGACAGCAACAGCAGCAGCAGCAGCAAGGGCAGGGGGGGCAGCAGGGGTTGCAGGGTGCGTCCTACCAGCCGTCGGGAGACGTGATGGCTATGATCAACCGCGGTGAGTGCGAGGCTGCTTCATTTGGACTTAAACTCCGAGTGTCCCCCCTCTCCATCCACACACACACCCACACCTCCCCCCTCCTTTCCGTCCCCTTTTATTGTTTTTATCGCCTGCCCTTATCCATTGCCGTTGCTCAGTTCTAACCATCCGCTCTCTTCTCCCTGCCTCTGTAACCCGCAGCTGGTACGCCTGCGGGCATGCTCTCCAGCAACAGCTACCTGCAATCCCAGCAGCAGCAGCAGCAACAGCAGATGTTGCAGCAGCCGAAGCAGATGGCAGCAGTCAACGGGCAGTTAGGCCCCTCCTCGTTGCTCCTCGACCAGCAGCAGCAGCACATGCAGCAGCAGGGACAGCAGGGGCAGATGCAGGGAGGGTCAGTGTTGCTACAGAAGCAGGGGCAGGGGCAGGGGCAGGGAGAGGGCAAACGGGACGGGTCGAAAGGGGAGGGCGAGCAGGGGGAGGAGTCGAGGCAGGGAGGGCAGGATCAGGAGCAATTGGGCGGGAGAGGCGAGCAGCGAGAGGGTGATGGTGCAGCGTTTGACATGAGCGAGTTTCCCACGCTCAACACGAGGCCACCTGGGAGTGCAGCCATGGCTTCAGGTAGGCACTTGAACCGACATGATGCGTCTGATGCACCTGCTTTATCTGCTCCATTCCCATGTTAGCGTTCTCTTTTTTCTTTTCAACTGCTATGTGTTCTTGCCCCGCAGTCAAGTCATGGTTATTCCTCGCCCCCCTCATGCACACCCTCCCAACCTTTTCACCTGCACCCATCTGTCAACTTTCTCACACACTGCCCCCATCCCTCTCAATTCTGCTCCTTCAACCCCGCATCTGTGCTGCTCTCAATCCCCTCAGGTGCAGGGTCTGCAGCAGCGGCAGTGCTAAGGAAAGGGGCTCCATTGAACGCGCTGCTACACCAGGGAGGGCCGGAATTCAGCATACAGAACGAGGACTTCCCTGCCCTGCCCGGCCTCAAAGGTGCGTGTGCCTTGCCCAGCCGCACTGGTGGGTTTGTGCTTGCCTAGGTCTGCATGCGTGTCCTTCTTTCATGGTGTTTGCATATTTGCCTATCAGTCTGCTGCTGCTGCTGCTGCTGCTGTACGGTGCAGGTGTTGTAAATGCAAGCCTGAGCTTAAGCTTCCAGGAGGCCTTTGATCGACTCTTTCTCTCTTTCCTGCTTGCTTTCGTCTGCCTGCTGCTTGATCCTGCAGCGGGCGCGGACAACGGAGGGGACAAGGACAGTTCCGCACAGCAACAGCAGCAGCAGCAAGGCGCAGGAGGGTCAATCAGAAGCCACTTGGACATGCTTCAGCAGCAGCAGCAGCAGCTGCAGCACCTTAGCTTGCATGACAACCCCCACCTTTACCAGTACCACCAGCACCACCACCAGCAGGGGCAGCAGCAGCAGGGGGGACATTTGAAGCATCTAGATCAGCGCATGCTCTCGTCCCCTCCGCCCTTCAATGCACCAGGTGCTCCCAGTAGCTCCATGCTTATCCTGCAACGCTCCGCCAGTCCTAGCCCTTCCCTCCAGCAGCAGCAGCAGCAGCAGCAGAAACAGCAAGAGCAGCAGCAGCAACAGCAACAGCAACAGCAACAGCAACAGCAACAAGAGCAGCAGCAGCAGCAGCAACAGCAGCAGCAGGAGCAGCAGGAGGATCAGACACGGGGGGCAGACGGATCGAGTTTGCGGCACGCAGACGGCTCTGGAAACGTTCTGTTAGGGCAGGGAGGGGGAAAGGCTGGAGAGCAGCAAGGTTCGGCACCTGGTTCTCGGTCCAATACACCTGGTCCCACGGGGCCCCAGCAGCAGGCTCAAGCAGGAGGCGGGCAGTTGGGAGCAGGGAAGGAGCAAGGTGTAGACGGGCCAGATAAGTACGGGTTGCTGGGGCTGCTCAGTGTGATTCGGATGAGCGATCCAGATTTGACGACGCTGGCGCTGGGGACCGATCTGACGACTCTCGGGCTGAATCTAAACTCGCGGGAGAATCTGTACCGCACGTTTGCGTCGCCGTGGGCGGATGGGCCGACGAGAGCTGAGCCGGAGTTCAGCCTGCCGGCTTGCTACATCCAACCCACGCCTCGCCTGCAGGTCAGTTGATGCTGGGTCTGCCTGATTAGGGGCCTCATAAGTGGAATAATAGACTTCTGGTCGGATGGGCAGTCTAGAGCTGAGCCGGGGTTTAGCCTGCCGGCTTGCTACATCCAACCCACGCCTCGCCTGCAGGTCAGTTGATGCTGGGTCTGCCTGATTAGGGGCCTCATAAGTGGAATAATAGACTTCTGGTCGGATGGGCAGTCTAGAGCTGAGCCGGGGTTCAGCCTGCCGGCTTGTTACATCCAACCCATGCCTCGTCTGCAGGTCAGTCAATTCCGGCTCTGCTGGTCTCTAGATGGATGAGCTGATTAGAGCTGAGTTGGGGTTTAGCCTGCTGGCTTGCTGCATCCAACGCATGCCTCGTCTGCTGATCCGTCTGTGCTGCTTCCTTTCAAATCCTTGTTCCTTTAGGTAGCATCAAGCCATGCATCCTCATCCCTCTCCCCTTCCCCTCCTTCTCTTCCACCATCCTGCACCGTCCCCTTCGCCCTCTCCTCTCGCGCTCGTCCGTGTGACTGTGTGACTGCAGCCGGGCTACTTCTCCAAGTTCCAGCAGGGCACGCTCTTCTATATATTCTACAGGTGAGCTCTAAAGGTTTTAAAATTTTTACAAGGGTTGACTTTTTGAGCTGGCCAAGTCTTTGAGCTTTGGGTTGTGATGAGCTTTACGTTCTGAGCTTTGAGTTTTGTGGTTTTGTGGCTCTGGTAAAAAGCTCTGTGTTACAGTGCATGATAGTTAGCCATGGAGGATGGGTGGGTGGGTGGATGTTGCCTGACAAACGATCGTCCCACCCACCAACACAGGCTTTTGTTCCAATCGATCCCCTTCACTACTGCTGTTTCCCAGCCGATGGCTCATACTCCGACCCTCCGTCCTCCCACCTCCCACCCCTTCCTCCTTGCCTCCTGCCTCCACCTTACCTCCCCTTTTCCTCCGTAATGCTGTTGTTCGCCCCCCTCCCCCCCCTTACTTTTGCGTTTGTGTTTCCTATGTGTGATGCCTCCCTCCTATGCCGGCGCAACAGCATGCCGCATGATGAGGCGCAGCTGTTCTCTGCTGATGAACTGTGAGTGCTCTGCATTGCATGGACCATCTCGCATCCCACATTTTGCATCTCTAATCTAATATTTTGACACCGTTTGCATGGCAGATCTTGCACATACAATTTGCGCATAGACGGGCATATTATACTGCCTACTATGCACCCATGCACTCTCCTGTACATGCATGCAACTGTAGCACTTCACACGTCAGACTCTGTAGTTAATGTTAAAATATATATATTCACGCCTACAGCAAGAAGTTCAGTTCATAGCACCCCTGCCTTCCCTGCATTATCTCACCCATCCCACCCGTCCCTACATCCTCCCGGCAGGTGCAACCGCGGGTGGTTCTACCACAAGGAGCATCAGGTGTGGTTCACACGCGTGCCCAACAGCGAGCCCGTGGTGAAGACCCCCACTTACGAGCGCGGCTCCTACTACTTCTTTGACCCCACCGTGTGGGAGACCGGGCGCAAGGTGCGTGTTTTGGGGAGAGGAGGGAGGTGAGAGCGGGCTTTGAGGTGGGGGAAGGCAGGGGCAAGGGACAGGGAGGAATGCACTCAGTCGGTGGTGAAGACCCCCACGTACGAGCGCGGCTCTCACTACTTCTTTGACCCTACCGTGTGGGAGACTGGCAGGAAGGTGAGTGGTGTGGAGGGTCTCAAGACAGGCAAGGCCGTGGTATAGGGGGCAGGACCACTGTGTGCGACAGCACGAGATGCTCTAGGCCCATTTCCAGCTATTGAGGTGACTTTTGAGTCGATCCAAAAGACAGGCAAGAAAGCGGGAAAAGGGGCAGGACCACTGTGTGCTACAGCACAAGATGCCGTAGACCCATTTCCAGCTATCGATTTCTGTCTGCAGCACATTGAGGGTTCACCCTTACTCACTCTTCCCTGCTTTCCCGTACCCACCTTCCCACACACCTCAGGAAAACGTGGTGGTGCTACAGTGCGAGATGCTAGAGGCCCGTCCCCAGCCCTTGGCTCTTTTCATAACACTCTTCTTCCCTACCCTCTTCTCCTCTCCTTCTCCGCCCTCCCCCCCCCCCCCACACTTCAACACCCTCAGGACAACTTTGTGCTACAGTATGAGATGCTAGAGGCCCTTGGCTCTTCTCATAACACACTGACATGCCAACCTTCCCCGCTCTCTTCTGCTCTCCTCCTCCCCCCCCCCCCACCCCACCACCCCGCAACATCCTCAGGACAACTTCGTGCTACAGTATGAGATGCTAGAGGCCCGTCCCCAGCTGCCCATTCCTCCCCAGCGATAGTGCAGCTGCTGACCTCGGCCAGGCGCAGGGGCTTAAGGTTTTGGGATTGCACACAGGAGGAGGAGGTGGAAGAGGACAGGAGGTGGCTGTGAGGGCTTGACTTGCGATGCAAGTGACAGGGATGCTTCTAAGTTTTGGTCTTAATGCATGAGAGAATCAATAACGAGGGTTTGGGAGGGAGGTTTGGAGAGTGGATAAATTTGTGGGTGGCAGAGGTACGGTAGTCGGTCGGTGATTTGATGGAGCGAGATTCGAGGGATAGGAGGAATGGGTGCGATGCGAAGAGATGGCGGGAGAGCGTCAAAGAGGAAGCGATTGCATCATCGTCTCCCTTCATCATCATCATTGATAGTAGTCACTCCCCTCATCATCATCATTGATAGTAGTCACTCCCCTCATTCTTAGTCACTAACATCACATCTGCTTGATTGTGGTTATTGCCCAATGCTCACCATTTTCGAGCTTCGGAGGGTCTCTGTCAGACCCATCTGAAATGTCTAATTTTCTCGTTCTAAACATCTAGGCGCGTTATGAAAGCCGTTATGCTTCAATGGACCGAGAGTGGTACATTCTGTAAATGCTAGGCGAAATGACCCCAGATGGGACGACCCGAGGCTTCAATGAAAAAGTACGAAAGTACGACAGTGAAAGTACGAGCAAAAATTCTGAGGTCTTGTTTTGTGTCGGTCATCTGTCAGAGTTCTGAGCGGTACTGCTCGGTGCTAGTCGCTAAAGGTTTTGAAGCTGTATTGGTCCCGCCAGTGATTATGGTCGCAGAACTGCTACGTCCTTCTCCACTTCACCGCCGTCGCCTGTCTAGCTCCTCTCGTCCGCGTGCCTCCTCCGGAGAAGCCATGGCGGCTTCCGCGGAGCTTTCCGCGTACGCGTTTCACGCGGCGTCGCCGTGTCTCCGTTATAGCGGAACTGGCGCGGCGGAAAACTCTAGTTTCTCCGCGTCTTCCGCGTTCGCCAGAGTCCCGTTATCCAGCCGCGTCGCTTCCCTCCGCATCGCTTCCCGCGCGCCATTGCGCCGATCCGCTATTAACCCGCCCGCCTCTTCCGCGCGTGCTGCTTCCCGCCAACAGCCGGTGGAGCCTGTGGGGGAGATACCCCGCGGAGATACAGAGGTTAGGGGGGAGAAAGTGCGGTTAGCGGAGAGAAACGGCGGATTGAGTGGAGAAGTTCGGAACGCAAGCTTAAAGAACGGCGGAGAATCGAGCAGAGAGGGAAATGAGCGACGATTGGAGTTTGAGAATCAGTCGGAGGAGCACGAGAGGCGGTCCGAACAGCACGGGAAGGTTCGTAAGGGAATGGCAGTTACGAGGCGTCAGGTTCTCGCAACTGCCGCTGCGGCTGCTGCTGCAGGGGGGATTGCTGAACGCGCAGCAGCAGCAGGGCTGGTGATACCAGGAGGGAGGAGTTGGAGGGGAGGAAACGGATTAGGGTTTGTGGAGGGGGAAGAGAGCGGGGGAGTGGAGGGGAAGGGGCGCGGGGGAGCGGGTACAAGTGTGGGCTCGGTGCTCGATAGCTTATCGGAGCGGGTGTGCACGTTCACGCTTGCGAACGGCATGCGTTGGATTGTAGTGGAGCGGCGGGCGGCGCCGATTGTCTCGTGCCACACGTACGCAGACGTGGGGGCGGCAGACGAGGCGGATGGGTGCACGGGCGTGGCTCATTTATTGGAACATCTGGCGTTTAAAGGCACCCCCGTTATAGGAACGAGAGACGCCCAGAAGGAGGCTCGGCTGCTGGAGCTTGTAGACGAAGGTGAGTGTAGAGAGGACGCTTAGATTGAACTCATAGAAGAAACGAAGTACTAATATAATTGAAAATGGGCGGAACGAGCCTGAGGTGAAAATGTGTCGAATTATCTTGTGAAAGGCACTGCCTCTGTCTCGAAAGGCACTGCCTCTGTCTCGAAAGTTTGAAACCACCTCCCCAATTTCCAGCAAGTGACCATCCTTCTCCCCCTCTCCCCCCTCCCCACATACCCTTCCCCTCCTCCACTCATCCCCTTGCCCACCTCTCGCCCTCCACCCGCTGCCCCCGCAGCGTTCTACGGGCTGAAGGAGGCGAGGGAGGGCGGGGCAGCAGAGGGCACAGTCAAGCGGCTGGAGGACGAATTCGTGAGTGCACCCAAGTCAAGCGGCTGAATGGAGGTTTTTTTTCAAGCTTTAGCTCCCAAGTCTGGATGCCAAGTCTGGATGTTGAACCCTGAATTTTGATGCCTGAATGCCCAAGGTGTTTCCTGGCAATAATAATTAAAAAAAAACAAACGATAACGACAACTCCTTTTGGAGCAGACCGCTGCCTGCCCGCCACGCCACGCACACGAACTTGACTCCCCCCCCCCACGCGCCCCCCTGGTTTTGAAGACACTGTTCACTCCGTTGACCAATCGTCTCAAGCTGGGGGTCCTTTCGAGGCGCCTCAAAAGTCGTCTCAAGTCTGTATCCTAATGCCTGAATGTCTGTCTCAAGGGAAGGTGTTTCTCAAGGGAAGGTGTTTCTCAAGGGAAGGTGTTTCTCAAGGGAAGGTGTTTCTCAAGTGAAGGTGTTTCTCAAGTGAAGGTGTTTCTCAAGGGAAGGTGTTTCTCAAGTGAAGGTGTTTCTCAAGGGAAGGTGTTTCTCAAGGGAAGGTGTTTCTCAAGGGAAGGTGTTTCTCAAGTGAAGGTGTTTCTCAAGTGAAGGTGTTTCTCAAGGGAAGGTGTTTCTTGCCAATTCGTAAAACAAAACGCCTCCAAACGTTTCTCCTTGAGTGGGCCGTTGAGTGCGTGAACTTTCTTGAGTCATGTGGTGACTTTTGAGTTGAACAGTCGGAAATGTTCACCTCAACTCAAGGGCCCACACAACGACAGCAACATGAGCTCATCTCCTCTCTCCGTGTGTGCTTGGTTTTGTTAGTCTATTCTGTTTTCTCTCTAGAAAATCACGGTGCTTATTTTGCCTGTTTCCCACTAGCAGTTTCTTGGGGCAGCAGCAGCAGGCAATGTCCTGTTCGTACTTATCGCACACCCGTACCATACCCACATCCCATCCCCTCCCCTCCTCTTCCCTCTCTTTTTCGCCCTCCCCCCACTCCAACGCACACAAATACGCCGAAATGCCCCAAATACATACACAACACACACGAAGTACCCTTGCCTGCTACTCTGCCCCGTTCCGCCCCACTCCACCCCACTCCACCCCACTCCACCCCACTCCACCCCACTCCACCCCACTCTGCCCCACTCTGCCCCACTCTGCCCCACTCTGCCCCACTTTGCCCCACTCTGCACTGCTCGGCACCACTCTGTTGCCTTGCAGGCTCGCCTGCAGCAGCAGGCGGCGGAGCTGTCTGTTCCAAACGCGTTCGGCGCCCTGGTGTCGCGGGAAGGGGGCGTGGGGCTCAACGCGACCACCAGCCAAGATTCCACACGTGCGTGGGGGTGGGAGAGAAGGGTTGGGGAGCGAGCGGGGAGGGGGAGAAAGGGTGTGTGAGGGGTGTCTTTGGGGTTGAGAAGGGGGCGTGGGGCTCAATGCGACCACCAGCCAAGATTCCACACGTGCGTGGGGGTGGGAGAGAAGGGTTGGGGAGCGAGCGGGGAGGGGGAGAAAGGGTGTGTGAGGGGTGTCTTTGGGGTTGAGAAGGGGGCGTGGGGCTCAATGCGACCACCAGCCAAGATTCCACACGTGCGTGGGTGGGTGGGGGGGAGGGGAAGGAGGGGAGAAGGGGGAAGGAGAGGGAGAGGGTAACGAAGGGGGGAGAAGGGGGGAGGAGAATCATTCGTAGTAACGAGGGGGGCGTGGGGTTTCAACGCGACCACTACCAGCCAGGACCCCACACGTGCGTGGGTGGGGGGGGGGAAGAAGGAAGGGATGGGAGCGAGAAGGATGAGAAGGATGAGAAGGATGAGAAGGGGAGAAGGGGAGAAGGGGAGAAGAGGTTATGGTTTCACCCTCTCTCTCTCCCTCATCTTCTTCCCTCATTCGATTCCCTTTCTCCGTTCACCCCCTCTCCCATTCATCCCCTCCCTTCCTTCGCCCCCTCCTCTCAGAGTACTTTGTCTCCCTGCCCGCCAACAAGCTCGAGCTCTGGATGACGCTTGAGAGCGGCCGGTTCCTGCTTCAACTACTCTCCCTCTTCCCACATCTCCTGAGTTCTAGTTTTTTTCACAACTGGTTCTTTCTAACATTCAAGTTTTCCACCTCCCCCCTCTCGCTCCGTTCAACCCCTCCCACCAGAGTACTTTGTCTCTCGGCCAGCCAACAAGCTCGAGCTCTGGATGGCGCTTGAGAGAGAGAGAGAGAGCGGCCCGTTCATGGCTGCAGCCATGTTCTCCCCACAACTCCGATGTTCTTTCTCATGTTCAGGGTTCCCACCCTCCCTCTCTCCTCCATTCCCTCCTGCTGCACCAGAGTACTTTGTCTCGCTCCCTGCCAACAAGCTCGAGCTCTGGATGGCGCTTGAGAGCGGCCGGTTCCTGGCACCTGTGTTCCGCGAGCTGTACAGTGAGAAGGAGGTGAGGGGGAAGGGAGTGAGGTGAAGGATGACGCATGGGGTGGAAAGGAAACAAAGGTGGATGGTGATAAGGGGTCTAGAGTCTAGAGCGGTTGAGAGCGGCCGGTTCCTGGCACCTGTGTTCCGAGAGCTGTACAGCGAGAAGGAGGTGAGGGTGTTGGAGGTGGGGGAAAATGTGGGTGTGGGGGAATGTGGGTGGGGGGGAATGGGATGAGGCAGGAATGAACCCATCTGGCCGACCCATCTCGCAGTAGGAATGCACCCATGTCAATTTCGTTGCACCGCACTGCACCCACCGCATCAGGTGGTGAGGGAGGAAGGAAGGGCGTCTGCACATAGACAACACCCCCTAAGGGCGTCTGCACGGAATCTTTTGCTCAGCCCAGGCGTTTCCCTCTCAGTAGAGCACATAAACTCGTTTCTACTTTGCTGCACCGCACTCAACCACATCACGCTGCTCCCAACCACATTGCACCGCACTCAACCATGCCAGGTGGTGAGGGAGGAGAGGGGGTTATGCATCGACAACACGCCCTACGGTCGAAGCCTTTGTGCAGCGGGCGTTCCCCTCCCAGTAGAGCCCATAAACTCATTCAAGCTTTAATACACCGCACTCAACCACACCGCACCTCAACCTAATCACAAACTGCACACCCCACCGCACCAGGTGGTGAGGGAAGAGAGGCGGTTGCGCATAGACAACACCCCCTATGGCCGCTTCACAGAGGCCTTTGCGCAGCGGGCGTTTCCCAACAGCCCCTATGGACGCCCCACCATTGGATACCGTATGTGTTTCATTGTATCTACAGTGTGTATGTATTAGTACATATATGTTTGTATATATTGGTACATTTATGTTTGTGTATATTAGTACATATATGTCCATGCTCCTGCCCTCCATGCTCCTGCCCTCCATGCTCCTGCCCTCCATGCTCCTGCCCTCCATGCTCCTGCCCTCCATGCTCCTGCCCTCCATGCTCCTGCCCTCCATGCTCCTGCCCTCCATGCTCCTGCCCTCCATGCTCCTGCCCTCCATGCTCCTGCCCTCCATGCTCCTGCCCTCCATGCTCCTGCCCTCCATGCTCCTGCCCTCCATGCTCCTGCCCTCCATGCTCCTGCCCTCCATGCTCCTGCCCTCCATGCTCCTGCCCTCCATGCTCCTGCCCTCCATGCTCCTGCCCTCCATGCTCCTGCCCTCCATGCTCCTGCCCTCCATGCTCCTGCCCTCCATGCTCCTGCCCTCCATGCTCCTGCCCTCCATGCTCCTGCCCTCCATGCTCCTGCCCTCCATGCTCCTGCCCTCCATGCTCCTGCCCTCCATGCTCCTGCCCTCCATGCTCCTGCCCTCCATGCTCCTGCCCTCCATGCTCCTGCCCTCCATGCTCCTGCCCTCCATGCTCCTGCCCTCCATGCTCCTGCCCTCCATGCTCCTGCCCTCCATGCTCCTGCCCTCCATGCTCCTGCCCTCCATGCTCCTGCCCTCCATGCTCCTGCCCTCCATGCTCCTGCCCTCCATGCTCCTGCCCTCCATGCTCCTGCCCTCCATGCTCCTGCCCTCCATGCTCCTGCCCTCCATGCTCCTGCCCTCCATGCTCCTGCCCTCCATGCTCCTGCCCTCCATGCTCCTGCCCTCCATGCTCCTGCCCTCCATGCTCCTGCCCTCCATGCTCCTGCCCTCCATGCTCCTGCCCTCCATGCTCCTGCCCTCCTCTCCTTTTCCCTGCTTGCCCTTGGCTCTCTCCCAGCCTCGGATTTTGATCGCCTTGGAAGGAAGGAGGCGGAGGCATTCTGCCTGCACCTTCCCTCCCTCTGCTCAACCTCTCTGCTCCTTCATAAACCTGCCCTCCTTTCCCCTCCCCTCCATGCCCTTGGCTCTCTCCCAGCATCTGATTTTGATCGCCTAGGAAGGAAGGAGGTGGAGGCATTCTTTCAGCAGCACTACACGCCTGACAAGCTCACATGCGCGGTGGTATGAAATCCTAGAACCCGCTTGCTTGCATGTGTGGTAGTCAAATCTTTTCCCTTTCGGGTGGTTGCTTGCCTGGTTGCTTGGCAGGTGGGGGATGTGTCAGCAGCAGAGGTGGAGCGGCTAGGCTAGCAACCAAGTACCAAGTACTAAGTACTAGGCAGCCCATCACCTCACCTCGCAACCCATCCCAGCCCCCTCCCTTTCTCCCTTCTTGCATCTGGCTGTTTGTTTGTCTACTTGCCTGGATGCATGGCAGGTGGGAGACGTGTCAGCAGCAGAGGTGGAGCGGCTAGCAACAAAGTACTTTGCACCCTGGCAACCCATCTTCCCTCCCTCACAACCCATCCCAGCCCTCCCCTTTTCCCTCGCCTCCTCCTCCTCACCCCTCCTCCTCGCATCGGCTTTCCCACTCCCTCTATCCTCCTCCACACCTCTCGCCTCCACCCCTCCTTCTCTCAACCCCACCTCCATCTCCTCCTCTTCTTCTGCCTCTCCCGCCTGGCGATCAGGGAGCAGGGAGGAGGGGTGGGAGGCGGCGAGAATGGCAGCAGCTGCAGTGGGAGAGGAGAGGGAGATGAGAATGAGTGTGGGTGCTAACCCGCTGTACTTTGAAGGTAAGACACTCCGAGGGGTGGGAGGCGGCGAGAATGGCAGCAGCTGCAGTGGGAGAGGAGAGGGAGATGAGAATGAGTGTGGGTGCTAACCCGCTGTACTTTGAAGGTAAGACACTCCGAGGGGTGGGAGGCGGCGAGAATGGCAGCAGCTGCAGTGGGAGAGGAGAGGGAGATGAGAATGAGTGTGGGTGCTAACCCGCTGTACTTTGAAGGTAAGACACTCCGAGGGGTGGGAGGCGGCGAGAATGGCAGCAGCTGCAGTGGGAGAGGAGAGGGAGATGAGAATGAGTGTGGGTGCTAACCCGCTGTACTTTGAAGGTAAGACACTCCGAGGGGTGGGAGGCGGCGAGAATGGCAGCAGCTGCAGTGGGAGAGGAGAGGGAGATGAGAATGAGTGTGGGTGCTAACCCGCTGTACTTTGAAGGTAAGACACTCCGAGGGGTGGGAGGCGGCGAGAATGGCAGCAGCTGCAGTGGGAGAGGAGAGGGAGATGAGAATGAGTGTGGGTGCTAACCCGCTGTACTTTGAAGGTAAGACACTCCGAGGGGTGGGAGGCGGCGAGAATGGCAGCAGCTGCAGTGGGAGAGGAGAGGGAGATGAGAATGAGTGTGGGTGCTAACCCGCTGTACTTTGAAGGTAAGACTCTCCGAGGGGTGGGAGGCGGCGAGAATGGCAGCAGCTGCTGTGGGGGAGGAGAGGGAGATGAGAATGAGCATGGGTACTAACCCACTGTATTTCCAAGGTGAAACACCCTCTCGGTGCTACTAACCCGCCAGTACTTTGAAGGTAAAACACCCTGGGTGTGCGGAAATTTGTTTTTCCGCTCTTTCTTCATCCAATCCAATGTGGTATGTTGCCACCAGTGGCAACGAGACATTTCCTGTTACAGTGGCAGGATCTCCTTTTCTTTTGTGAGCTTCCCTTATCAGTCCTCCTCTTCTCCATCCTCTCCCACTGGGCGCCACCCTCTCTTTTCCTCCCTCGTGGCATGGAATCATCCTCGACACAACTGCATGTGCATGCAGGTTATTTCCGTCCCTCCTCATCCTCGGTGGACGATCCAGTCATCTCTGTAATCAGCTCTCTGCTCTACGGCTCTCGCTCGTCCCGCCTATACAAAGTGAGATCCATCCTTCCGTTACCTTCACTCGCTCTCTTGCTCCCTAGTTTGTTTGTTAGCTTTTTTTTCTCGTTCATTTGATGTTTCGTTTGTCTGAACAATCTTTTCCCTGTGCCAACAACTCTGTCTTTGTCCCATTTCTCCCTTTCATCTCTCCTCACTCCCTTCTCAACCATCCCCTCTCACCTCTCCTCTCCTCTCGCCCCTCCTCCTTCCTCCTCCTAACCTTTCAGAACCTAGTGCTGCCAGGCAAGGCCCTCTCAGCCAGTGCCACAGAGACCTACCCCGGGGATAAGCGCCCCAGTCTCTTCCTGCTCTCCGCCTTCCCTCCTCTCGGTAACACCCCATGCCTCTCTGCTCACATGATACCATACCATGCCCCTGGGCCTTTACCCACATGACACCATGCAAAACCCCTTTGGACGCATGATACCATACCACGCCCTTCTTCGCACATGCACTACCCATCCCATGCTGCGCCCCTCTGTGCAGTTAATATCATACCATGTTAATGTCATCCCATGCACCTGTGTATGTACCGTGCTCCCATGTGCCCCACTCTTCACTGCATCTCATTACCCCACTCTACAGCACATGGCCGACACACGCGCGCCTGAGAGTGACCTCACACTTACTTTGCTCTCATCCCTCTCCCCACTCTCCCAATTACCCCACAGGCGGCACCACAGACGCGGTCGCAGCAGCGGTACAGGAGCAGCTGCAGCACATGGCGGACACACACATGCCCTTATCCTTATCCTCACATCTCAAACCGCCGGTGATGCTCTGTGTATATGTCCTTCAATTCCCCACAGGCGGCACAACTGATGCAGTGGCAGCAGCGCTACAGGAGCAGCTGCAGCACATGGCGGACACTCGTGTGCCAGAGAGTGACCTTGCTCGTGTCCGCAAATCCCTCCGGGTCGGCTTCCTTGTGAGTCTGCCTAGTTTGTCTCTTCCTTGTAAATCTGCCTGGCTCTGTTATGATCTGTCCCAAAAGCACGTGCCAGAGAGTGACCTTGCTCGGGTCCGTAAGTCCCTCCGGGTCGGCTTCCTTGTGAGTCTGCCGAGTTTGTCTCTTATGAGTCGACTCAAAGGACCTGTGAACCTGCCTGGTTAGTCTCTCTTATGATTCAACTCAAAAGCACATGGCGCACACGCACGTGCCTGAGAGCGGCCTCGCTCGCGCTCGCAATTCCCTCCGGGTTGGCTTCCTTGTGAGTCCTGCCCAGCTAGCCTCTCTTATGAGTCGAAACAAAAAACGTATGAGTCGACTGAAAAGCACATGGTGGGCACACGTGCGCCCGAGAGTGACCTCGCTCGGGTTCGCAAGTCCCTTCGGTTCGGCGTCCTTGTGAGTGTGCCTCGATTGCAGTTGCCCTCTGCGATCGTCTCTTGTGAGTCCTGTCTTTTCCTCATCCATCCTCCAACTCTTGTCAAATTTGTGTCATTCTGTTCCCCTTTCGCTGCTCCCACTCTCTCAACAGGAGCTCCTAGGCAGCAATTCCGGCTTGGCGCGGGTGCTCTGTGAGTATTCCACGCGGGCGGGCAGATGGGAGGCGCTAGTGGAGGAGGTGCAGAACATGGAGGAGGTCACTCCCAGATGAGACGTGTAATAGTTTCCCCTTACGGAATCTCACTCCCATCACTTCAAGCATGCTTCTCTTTTCCCTTCCCCTCTCGTTCCTTGCCCCCCTCTCTGTTTTTCCTCCCTCGTCTCCCCACAGGAACTCCTAGGCAGCAATTCCAGTCTGGCGCGAGTGTTGTGTGAGTATTCAACCAGGCCGGGAAGATGGGAGGCACTAGTGGAGGAGGTGCAGAGCATGGAGGAGGTCACTCCCCGGGACGTGCTACGTCCCCCCCCCTACCGACCCAAGCATGCCTCATTTCTTCCGTATCCTTCTACCCTCTCTCTCTGTGCCCCTCGCCCTTTCTTTTGCCTCACTTACCAGGAGCTCCTAGGCAGCAATTCCGGCCTGGCGAGGGTCCTCTGTGAGTATTCAACCAGGGCGGGCAGATGGGAGGCACTAGTGGAGGAGGTGCAAACGATCGAAGAGGTCACTCCCAGGGACGTGCAGCAGGTGGCTCGTTTGTTGTTCTCTCCCGATATGCGCATCACAGCACATGCTGTCAATACCTAGTGCGTGGCTCATGTGATTGTGCTTGCAACAACGTTGAGGCTAGTGGGATGGGAAGCCCTGGTGGAGGAGCGAGAGGAGGTACAGAGCATAGGGGAGGTCACTCCTAGGGACATGCAGCAGGTGGCCCGTTTGTTGTTCTCCCTGATATGCACATCACAGCACATGCTGTTAATACGTATGTAGGTAGATTTGATGATGCAAGTGCGAGCCCCTCATATTCATTCTATTTGTGGATGTGTAGTGTAGCACTTGATTTAAAATTAGCAGGATCATCATTCCCTTTTCTCCCTCGTCTAAGGGTACATTCCGCGCTGGACACTTTCTCAAAGAAAGTGTCCAATCGATTGTGACGCGTATGTACAGCTTATGCTGGCAGGTGTCCGAAACCCGGGCCGCACTTGGGTGTCGCCGAACGCACTAATCATTGGTTGACGTGAACTGCGGAACAATCGCGCGCTAATTGCACGCCAGCGCAACACATTCACGTTACCGTATTCTCCCGGATATAGGACCCTCCCGAAAAAAAGACCCCCGGGACGTTTGAACGGTACTGGGACTCTTAATATGTAGCATATGTGAGAGGACCCCCCCTAAGCCTATAATCAGTATAAGACCCCCCCCCCTTCCCCTAGGGGAGGGGATTCTGTTAAAGAAACCATTGCCCAACAGTTTAGAATTAATACTGCACTTGGATCCACACTAGACACGATGTGAAGGCATGGAACGAGTCAATACTACGGTACATCAAGCAACACAGTCATACACATCTACGGTCCGGCTTAGCTAACCTTTCTCTTGCACCCCCCTATTCCCTACTCCACATCGTCCTCCTCCACGTCTCCCCACTCTGCCTCCCCCTCGATCTCCTCCTCCTCCTCCTCCTCCTCCGCCTCCATCTCGGCCTCCTCCTCCTCCTCCTCCTCCTCCTCCTCCTCCTCCTCCTCCTCCTCCTCCTCCTCCTCCTCCTCCTCCTCCTCCTCCTCCTCCGCCTCCTCCTCCTCCGCGGGCATGTCCCCACAGTCCTCGTCGTCCGCCTCCCGGGCAGCTTCCTCGTCGTCAGCAGTCGTGGTGTAGAGGGGGTTGACCCACTCATCCACCAAGGGGGAGGAGTGGACGTCCTCTCCCACCTCGACCTGGCCAGCATCCCGCATGTGCGCCAGGACGAGGTGATCCTGGCTGCCGTCAACGGCGTTGCTGATGCCGGTGGTCAGGAACGCCTTGACGATGATGTGCTCCGGCACGTCGCTCCATGACTGGGCGATCCACTTCAGCACCGTCTCAGCGGGGGGCCTCTTCAGGTTCCCTGCAAGGTCGACCAACGCACACAGATTCGAGTGAGTGTGTTTATTGTGTCAACATGTGCTCTCACTTTTGTTACGGTTTAGAACCCTTAAGGTACACGCACCTGCGGGGGTGAAGCTGTTCACCCCTTCATCGGCGAACCAGTCGTTGTAGAACGTGCGCAGTCCCGCCTTAAAGGAGCGGTTGATGCTCACGTCAAGGGGCTGCAGCAGGGGCGTGCACCCCCCCGGGATGATGGCGGGGATCACACGGTGCCACCTGAGCTTCGCAAGAACGCCGTCCGTGATGTGTCCACGGTAGGAGTCCAACACCAGGAGGGTCTTGGACCGACGGATGCCACGAGGCGGCTTGATGAAAGGGAGAAGGACGTTGTTAACCCAGTCGTCGACGAGTTTGCCGTCCATCCACCCCTTCTCATGAGCGCGGATGATGACACCTGCATACGAGAAACACGCAAGTGCACGGGGAGATTGTTAAACGTACTGAGATATCACCCACCGCGGCTTCAGGGCCAATACGAAAATTACCTGGCGGCACGCGGATCTTAGGGATGGTCTTGCGCTTGAAAATGACCATCGCTGGGAGCTTGCGTCCGTCCGCCGTGACGCCCAGCATCACGGTCACCCGTTGCTTCTCGTACCCCGCGCTGCGAACGTGCACAGACTTCTCACCGCGGTGGTGAAGAGTCCGGTCGCACGGCATCTCCAAGAACACAGGGGTCTGGTCCGCGTTTATGACGTTCCACGTGTCGATGCTCCACTTGATGACGTTCCGCCGTACGAACTCCCAGAAAGACTCGCATTTGGGCTTGCAATCTGTAAACGAAAAAAAAAAACCGGTAAACGAAGTGACTCACCCAGGTAAACAGCGGGAGGCGGCTTATACTCTAACACGGAGGGTCAATGAGTCGCGAAGCAAATTATACATACCCTTCGCGAGGCGCTGCCCGATCTTCGTCTTCACACGGATGGCGAGGCCCCACCGTGCACGGAAGCGAAACGTCCAGCGCGCGGAGGCCATCCAAGCGACGTCCGGGTGGTGGTGCTTCATGAACGTCCTGCTCCACTGCCTGATGAGCTTGATCGGGACCGCTAACCCCCTGCCGCGGAAGTTCAGGAGCTTCTTGTACACGGCCTGCTCCATGTCGGGGTATTTCGCCCGCCGACCGCCACCCTTTAGCCGACGCCTGCACGGTGCAGCCTTTTCGATCTCCTGCGCGATCCTCAGCCAACGGCGGACGCTGATTGGCTGAACCCCTGCAAGACGGGCCGTGTGACGAATTGACAGATTCTCGTCTTTCATCCGCAGAAGCCACTGCCACTTCTCACCCATGGTGCGCGCCGTGCGACGGTGCGTACTCTTGCGTGAACGCGAACTTGCAGGCGTGGCGTCCTTCGTTGCCTCGGGACCACCTTCATCGTGGACGAGGTCTTCGGGAAAGGTGGGGATGGGGAAGTCGCCAACACCGTAGGCCGCCTCGTCGGTCTCATCGCGGTTTTCGCTGACGTCTTCTGGCGCGGGAAAGCCCTCCTCGTCCGGGGGCTCGAAGAGAGGCCGGTCCTGGTGGGAAACGAAACCCGGGCGAAACACGGGTGGCGCAGGCGGCGCCGGTGGAGCAGGCGGGGCAGGAGGTGCGGGAGGCGCAGGTGGTGCTGGCGGATGCGGGCTAGTAATCACAACGATGGCCGGCCGCGATGAAGTCATCGAGGCACGGCGCGTACGCCAAGGACTTTCGAAAGCCGACATGGTGGAACTCTATTGCTAAACTACCGTATCGTACTTGGGGCGCATGACGACCTACTAGCGCCATGAGCCGTTCTTTGTAGTGCGGCTAAGCTAACGAAGTGAATCAGAAGCAATAGACACAGCGCTGGGGTACGATGTGACAAGCTCGGCTGCCTGCTGGAGTTGTGAGGGATCCGTTCCGCACCACGTCCAGAGCCTGTCCCTTGCTCTGTCGCTAAAGGAACAGACGTGATGCAAAGAAGGGGGGGGGGTTCTGGATGTGGGCACCTGAGGGAACCGCACACTCAAGGTGCAGTGCGGTTCGCCTCGAATGGTGTGATTTCCGCCGTCGTGCCTAGTTGGACGACGCGTGTCACACGCGATATGAGGTTCGGAGTGCTGTAAGCGGTGGAATTGGACGTGCAAAATAAAAGTCCCCCCCCCCCCCCCCCCCCAAAAAAAAAACGAATGGTACACCCTAAATCACATAACTGTACTTGATTAATAAGTGTACCCGGGTCTTATACAACTCGTTCCGATTAAATGTTCACCCTAACCAATTTGCCTCTATTTTAGGAAAGTCCCCCGGGTCTTATATCCGGGAGAATACGGTATCGCACGCGGTGCCAAATGTCCACACATGCTCCATGTACATAGACAACATTCAACAGACACCCATATCCCTATCAACGCGTTCAATGCAGCGTGATTGGTCGAGCCAACACACACGGAATTATTGACAGGCCCGCGCACTTCCCGCCAGCGCAGCTTCCCCCCATGGTCAATACACTTTCCCCTCAACTCCCCCTCCTCCAAACACATACAGCATCAGATAGAAGAAGTGTATAGCCTGTTCCAGTCAAACTTTAACATTTTCCTCCCTGTCACACCAGATCTAGACGCTCTGTGTTCCCGTAATGGCTCGTAAGCGTAAGGGCCAATCCCTTAACGACTGCCCCAAGGACCTTAACGATATCCCGTACATCCGCTGGATGAACCAGGAGATCGCTAACGGCCGTCATCCTACCGGCTTATCCGCTCCGCCCGCGCCTGACGGGCAGGGTTCTAGTGCACCGTCACCCAACGCCGGTCCGTCACGTGTGCGCCGTCAGCCTCCTCGAACCGGTGCAACAGTTAGGCCCGTCGCCGAGAAATTCGTGGATGACGACGATGAGGAAGATGCCGACGAAGCCGTCGGCAGTGACGAGGAGAACGAAGAGCCTGAGGATACGGGCATGTCGCCGTCGGACGACGAGGGAGACGATGACTACGGCAACGACGACGCGGAGGAGGAAGTGCAACCTGTGCCTCGGCCGCCGAAACGGATCACCCCTCGTGCTTCTGCCGCTGACAAAGGCAACGGCAAGGCGGCTGCACCACCGGCACGACAGGAGCCCCGGAAGAAGCGGTCGGCTGCCCCGGTAGAGAGGGGCATGTGGTCGGACAAGGAAAGCACCATCTTCGCCGCGGCGCGTTGGTTCACCAAGGACGAACTCGAGCCGCTCAAGGGCAAGCAGGGGACGCAGTACTGGGTGCGCCTTCTCGCGCACATCAAGGAGTCGAACCCGGGTTGGTGCAGGAACGTCAATGCATTGCAGAAGCAGTGGCGCAACTTGATGCTGCTTTGGAAGGAATACAAGCGGGGAGATGGTGGTTCGGGCAACGGATATGTGGAAAAACCGCCATGGTGGCCGTACTTGGAGCTCTTCAACAAGGACACCGCTGCAGCCGCACCGCATGCGGTAGACGGCGGCGGCGCAACGAACGTCAACGTGCAGGCGGGCATGGAGGTACCAAGTTCCTCCCAGCCCGTCACTTCGACGCCGACCTTCACAGGTGAGGTTCGGTTCTTGTTCCGCATGCGTGTTCCCTGGTCAATTATGGGTGTCAAACGTCAATCGTTAGAATGATCGTACACTATTGAAGCTACTAATCACAACTTGCGTGCTTCCATGCATTTCTGTTACAGCACCGCTGCCGCAAACCGACGCTACACCTAAGCGCGCCAGGGTACATGAGACGGCGACTATGCAAGCCGCCAAGCTTGTATCTACGACCATCAAGGATTGCCACGGTGACGCCATGGCGCGCATCGAGGGTCTCGTCCGCGAATGGATGGCGCAGGACTTGCGCCTGGCCCGCGAGCGCATGACTGAATCAGCTCCACCGCATGTGCATCGCGAAACGACGGACTTCAGCCCTCCTCCGCCACGCGGGGAGTCTGCACCACCTCCCGGGCGTGCCTCGCCAGACGCAGTTGGAGGCGATGCCGGCGACGTCAACACCGTCACTCCGGTTGATGACGATGTGGAGATATGGGTCCGCGGCGCCGACGATTAGCGTAAGATTCTTGCAAAGCTTCCCCTAGTCGTTTCCTTCTCTCCCTCAGGGCCTGTTGTGTCGCGGGGACACACGGTTCCCACTTGTGATCCGCGACGGCTCCCCTTGTCCACCATGGGTCGCGGTTGCGGGGCAGATGGAACCAGGCCATATTCACGCGCCTCACGTCTGCCATGTTTTCTCACATGTTGTGCAGGATCACACAGCAAGCGGCCCCGGCAAGAATGCGCCATAACCTGCAATCATTGCGCCCGTTGAAGAGGTGCCATCTTCCTTTGAAGGCGCCGATGCACCTCTCCACCGCCATGCGCGTAGCGCTCTGGCAGTAGTTAAAGCACTGGGCCCAGTCGTCCATCAGATCCTCTCCGCGTGGGGCATGCAGTGGCGTTAGGCAGTATTCTCTGAGCGGGTATGCCGCATCCCCGACAATTTGGTAGGGGTCTATGTCACCGTTCTGTAACCTTTCCAATATTGCGGAGTTTTTTAACACACGCTGGTCGTGCGCGCTGCCGGGATAACCGATGAGGTAATCCCATATCCTTCCCCGTGCATCACATGTGATCTGGAGCTGCACTGCGTATGCCGATTTCCTTGTCCAATACTCGGTCCGGTGCCCCTCCATCCCTCTCATGTGGATGTGGGTCCCGTCTATAGCTCCCACCACTGCAGGCACACCTTTGATGGCGGCGAATTCATGCGCCAACTATGGAAGTTCTGCTCGTGTGGGGAATCGCACCCAGGCGGCCTTGAAGAGGGCGGGGAACTCGGTGAGGAAGAGGTCGACTAGCTCGTGGCAGAGTGTCTTGGAGACCCCAAAGAGGTATGACATATCGACGAACGAGATACCGCTTGCTAAGTATTTTATAGGGATGAGCAAAGCTGTGTCCATTGTAAGCCAGGACCGATGTACGATTGGTTCAAGACATTGGCGCATGCCAGTCTTGATGTGCTCAAGTATGGCGCGATTAATTCTGAACATGTCTTGGAAATCGTTCTCCCGCATGTGTTGCAGGTCGTCAACCCACAGCGCATGGCGTTGCCGCCGTACTCTCGCTCTGTGACAGCGGTTCTCTGTTGGAATCACTGAACAGGAATGGATGAACTAGCAATGAAAAGAGTACAAGTACCTAACCCTAGAATTGTGTACCCCCTATAGGCTAACCCACTGTAGCCTAAACTAACACAACATATATAATGTTTGACACACCCCCATAGGCAAAGTGGGGGAGAACTAGGGGTCACAAGACCAGTCAAGGCAAAGCAAGGCAAAACAAGCTCAGGGTGGATCTCAAGGATACCACACAAATTCCGAGCACAAGCAAGTGGTCACAAGACCAGTTCACATGCAGGTTTATATATAGAGATCACAGTACAACAGACTCAAGAAGTAAGCAAGTGAGGTCCAGTAGGCACAAGGCCTAGAAGAGTGCAAAAGCGCTGATGGTCACAAGGCTGAAGCGCCTTGGTGAACACATCAGCAGTGTTGGCCTCAGAGGCCACGTAACGCAGGCGAAGCTGACCACGCTGCTGCAGCTCTCGAGCGAGGAAGTAACGCAGAGCAATGTGCTTCGTTCTGTGCTCCAGTCTGTGCTCCTCACACAAGGCAATGGCTGCCTTGTTGTCGACGTACAGCACTGGAGGAGAACGAGGCTGCTCTCCAAGGTCGGTCAGCAAGTAGGTGAGCCAGCGTAGCTCCTGGGCCGCCATGGCTGTGGCGTAGATCTCAGCCTCACAACTGGAGCTGAGAACAGAAGAAGAGCGAGTAGAACGCCAAGAAACAGAACCAGAGCCAAGACTGAAGGAGTAACCCTGAGACGACCGCTGAGTAGCCTGGTCGTCTGCCCAAGAAGCGTCTGAGTGCCCAGTGAGAACAACTGGGACTCGCCCTCCAAGCACTAGCCCCATGCCCGACGTACTGCACAAGTAGCGCAACACCCTCTTAGCTGCATCCATGTGCTCCTTCCGGTGACGGCCGGGAGCGACATAGCGTGCAAGAATGCTGAGAGGGTATGCAAGGTCTGGTCGAGTGCAGGTCATCAGGTACATGAGGCAACCCACAAGCTCTGGATACGGGCCACTCGGCTCTACGGACTCATCCGAAGGCAGAGCTGAGAGCGAGTGACCGGTAGGCAGAGGAGTGGGCTGAGGCGAGGAGTACGTGAAGCGGAAGCGCTGAAGGACCTGCTGCACCATGTGTGACTGAGTCAAGGTGATGGTGCGGCGTGCTCTGTCCCGGGTGATCCGCAAGCCAAGATAGCTTGTCAGTTCACCCAGGTCTGTGCACGTGTGTCTCTTCTGCAGCTCCGACTTCACGTGGGCGAGTGCCACAGTGTCAGCAGTAGCAAAGACCAAGTCGTCGACGTACACAAGGACGTAGAACGGCGGCAGTGAGGTGTCGGTGCGTAGAAACAGCGACGGGTCAGCAGTAGAAGGCGCGAACCCAAGAGCCGCAAGCGTAGTCCTCAGTGTGTCGTGCCACTCACGAGGTGCCTGGCGGAGACCGTAGACTGGCCGTCGGAGGCTCCACTGGGTACCAGGAGGGAACGACCCAGTGAAGCCAGGTGGACGGCGCAGCCAGATCTCCTCGTGCAGGCTGCCCTGCAGGAAAGCAGTGCTGAAGTCAAGCGAGTGGAGCTCGTAGTCACGCTGAGCGGCGACGTGCAGCAGAACCCGAAGAGTGGTCATCTTCGGGGTCGGGTAGAAGGTCTGGAAGAAGTCAACTCCCTCGCGCTGACTGAAGCCTCGTGCAACGTAACGCGCCTTGAAGACAGGCGGAGAACCCGGCGGCCGCTTCACCCTGAAAATCCACATGCCACTGACGATGTTCGCCCCAGGCGGGGGAACCTCGTCAACGTAGGTGCCTGTGGACTTCCAGGAAGCCATCTCTGTGTCCATGGCTGACTGCCACTGAGAGGAGTAGGGACCGGCCATCGCCTCTGCGTAAGAGCGTGGGGTCGGGATGTCTGGTGCATCCGGGTCTCCCTCAGGGGCAACAAGCATGGACACGAGATGGGGCAAAGCGGCAGCAAAGCACTGGAACTCCTCCTGCCTGTCCTCAAGGACGTCAGTGCCAAGAGCACACTCACCCCCGACGGACGGAGGACAGACAGACTCAGACTCAGCAACTAGGCTAGCAGCGTAGTCTAGACGACAGCGAGCAGCAAAGTCGACAAGCTCAGCAACTAAGGCAGACGCAGCAGCAGACTCAAAGGAAGGGTCAGTGACAACAGTGGCCAGGAGACGCGTGACAGCAGGACTGGTAGCACGAAGAGAGTCTGACCCAGGGTCAGGAAGAGCAGGAAGAGAGGAAGCAGGAGGAGACGGCAGTGGGACACGCTGTGGAGCAGTGGACGGACGAAGCGCCATCCGGTGAGTGCCTGGGACAGCAGGAAGACGCTGACGCTGGACTCGACGACTAGAGAGAGCAGTGCGGACAGGCGACCCAGGACGAGACTCAGGCGACGCAGGACGAGACGCAGGCTCACGCCGCTCAGTAAGACCTCCAGTCGGACCAGTGTAAGGAGCAGGACCAAGGAGAGAGGAGGCAGACGGTAACGCCGACTGCAGCTGGACAGGCTGAGGACACTCTAAGGAGGGAGGAGGAAAAGGAGGAGGAAGCTGACCAAGAACCTGCTGAAGGAGCGGAACAAAGTACGGCTGAGACCGAGCAGCGACACCAGAGCCAGCAGGGACACCCGCACCAGGGTCCGCAGCACCAGCAGCAGCTCCAGCGCCCACGTCCTCAGCACCAGCGGTAGCTCCAACGCCCGGGTCCTCAGCACCAGCAGTAGCTCCAACGCCTGGGTCCTCAGCACCAGCAGCAGCTCCAACGTCCGGGTCCTCAGCACCAGCAGCGGCTCCAACGCCCGGGTCCTCAGCACCAGCAGCAGCTCCAACGCCCGGGTCCTCAGCACCAGCAGCAGCTCCAACGCCCGGGTCCGCAGCACCAGCAGCAGCTCCAACGCCCGGGTCCTCAGCACCAGCAGCAGCTCCAACAGCAGCGGGGTTCGTAACACGAGGCACGCCACTCCGAAGAGTGCAGCGCCGCTCGTACCACTCACGGATCCGCTCGCGGGAGGGGAGCTCCCGAACGGGAGAAGAAGTACTAGCACCAGTCCCAGTAGTACGTCCGGCTCGAGTGGTACCTCTCCGGAGGCTACAGTACTCTAAGTACCACGCACGTAGCTGCTCCGAGGAGAGGGCTCCTCCAGGTGCAGGACTCCCAGACCTCGTACCTCCAGACGCAGAACCCCCAGACTCCGGACTCCGCAGCTCAGTACCACGAGGCTCCACACCCCCAAGCTCAGCACCCTCAAGCTCCACACCCCCAGGCTCCACACCCCCAGGCTCCACACCCCCAGGCTCCACACCCCCAGGCTCCACACCCCCAGGCTCCACACCCCCAGGCTCAGCACCCCCAGGCTCAGCACCCCCAGCAAGACGAGAGTCGACAGCTACCTCAACAGGCTCAACCGGGTCTACCTGAGACACACCTGAGGGAGCGGCACCCTGAGGGGGGAGGGGGTCTGCAACAGCAGCACCTGGCGAGAGGAAGAGAGGCGGGGGGGGGAGCGGGGCAGTGCGGTAGGGGAAGAGGCGGTAGTAGGGGACGGACTCGTCAAAAGTGACGTCCTGGGAGGGCAAGACTCGGCGCGAGGTGGCGTGGTAAAACTGCCAACCAGACGCGTCCGGGACAAAGCCGAGGAAGACGCAGGGAACAGCACGGGAGGAGAGCTTGTCCGCAGACGAATCGCGGACAAAAGCTCGAGACCCCCAGACCCGGAAACGCGACGCATCGCCAACCTCCCCCGTCCACAGTAGCGTGGGCGAGGTCTCCGGCAAGGAGACACGGGGCCAGAGGTTGAGCTGATGCGCAGCGTACCGGACCGCAAACGGCCACAGAAAGTGGGGGGCAGCCGCATGGATCAAGGAGGTACGGGCGACCTCCATGACCAGGCCAATGCGGCGCTCCGCAACCCCATTCTGCTGTGGAGAAGCCG